TAAGGGATTCTCCGGTTGAAAACCCAGTCTACCTCATTTTAAAACACAAAACCGCCATTATCAAGTGCATATGATACTCAATCAGAAAGAAAATCCGATATGTTTCTACTAAAGAAAGGAATTGCAAAATAATGTAGCACGTTTGTCTTCGGGTTTGTTGGTGCGTGAAGAAATAATTCTCGAAATTGGTGTTATTTAAGGACAAATAAGTACCAAATGCATATATCTACTTTACCACTGCAATTCCTCTATAAGTATAACAAGAAGAAATTAAGTTCATAGGTTTATAAACGCAATTGATCAGCATCACGTTGAAGCTTCTCTTCCAACTTCGAATACATATGTAACATAACCATTAGAAGCTTTAGTGAAACTGTGCTGTTTCAGGAATCTCGTTTGCACTGACAACAGACACTTCAAATTCAAAAATATAAGAGAATGCCTTTATTCAGATCAATAATAACTATATATAATCAATAAAATAAGTTAATATATTGAACAGGATTTGTCATCGTTTATGCCGGTAAAAACGCAAATATGACATGAACATTGAAAAAATGACGTTCGTTCCTTCTATGAATTCTAAAGACTGAACAAGCACTGCTTTTCCTTCCTTAAGCCATATTTAGAATAAAAACATCGGCAGGTTGATGTTTACTCCAAAGTGGTAAAATACAGACATCTATATTTCATCGTGGTAAGAGTAATTCCGTCGGCAGGCGAATGTATATTCTATTTGGATAAGAATCAAGTCGTCGATAGGCTGAGGTATATTCTATCGTAATAAGAGAAAATGTATACTTTATCATGATAAAGGTAAAATCGACGGCATTATGAAATTTCTTTCATCTTAAATGTGTAAATACGGCAGCAGACTGATATGAAATAAATTGTTGTGATTGAGCGTTGACGTGCCAATGTATAACATATCAAGGAAGTGGGTGTTAACCATTTGTCGGATGAGACATCAACAATGGGGATTGAATGTGACCGGGTAGGTGTCCTGCTGGTTGTCTTCGGCCAGTATGTTTCAGTGAGGTAGCACTATAAAATCGGCATCAGTTCCGCGCTATCACAAGGAAACAAACACGAACATATCACAGCCTCCCAAAACACACCGCATACACTACAAGCATGCATCTTGCACACAGGGGAGGCCGTCCTTAAATGGCCATAGCTGTTGAGAGGACATTAAACAATACTAAACCAAACCATGTTTGTGAGCTGATACATCAAAGCAATGGGTGCTAGTATTCAAGCTGTATAGAGAACATTTGGAGATAGGGTTGTAACAGAATGATATACAGCCAATGTGGAAAGGGTTCTTTGTACGTCATCAATGCACAGTCATTAATGGGAATTGTCTTAATAAATAGCCCAATGAGCCAGTATTGACAAAAGTTATATAGAAAATAAGGAGGTGGACACCGACGATACGTAAAGGCGTATAGACAGGTTTGATAGATAGAAAATGGTGTCAGAAAGTTGATGACAATCCAGGATTGACTTACAATTAGACAATGATAAGACGGACCTCACATGGCGTCAGTTGAAAGGTAGGAAATATCAGCAAATTGAATATTGTATAAAAAGGGGGCATCGAAAGGTTTGTAACTTGAAGTTACGTGAACAAGTTGCAACCTGTTGAAACACACCCTTAGGCGGTTGCACCTTTAATAGTTTGTAATAGATACAGTATGCCAAAACATATTTACACTCCATCATACAGCAAAACATATGGGAGAGACTACAATGCATTTGTACTGCAAAATCCTGACAATATGTTAATATCAGATGAAAGCTGGTCAGATAAAAAGGATGACACACCATAACCATGATTAGCGATACAGTCTTTTGTCTTCCCACGGAGGGTGTACTTTTATCGTCCAGGATCTGTTGCATCTCCACGAACATTGCTGCAATTTCGACAAAGCCTTTCTGCACTCACTAAATTGCTGCGTGACATGATTAAAATGTCCAGATCATATTATTAATCGGTTATGAACTATTAAGAATTCATTTCGGAGCAAATTTATCTTAATGTAAATCATTCACAGAATATCCGACTAGTTTTTGGAAAATATTACAAAAAAGTAATGGATGCTTATTAATCACTCCATGCATTTTGCATCGTTAACAAAATTTTAATTCCAATATATGCACAATACCCACAGCAGAAAGCCGAACACGATTTGGTTTTTCGAATGACATATTTTTGTTATTTATACAATTACTATTGTTCGTTAAGGTCAAAACAATGATTTATCAACATGTAGAAGATTAGCGGAACACAATGGATAATTTGGCCTTTCGAAGGAGACAATATCAAGTATTAACGTTCGTTGAAGTCGAAACAATGATGTACCAGCCTAAAGATTATTACAGTTTGCAGAAGCCATATGAATGCCTATGTAGCACTGAAGATGATGACAGACTTTTGAGTTAACCTTTAACATAATTGGATGAAAAGCTGTAAGGAGTATGAAACATGTTCATCGATTTTCCGCTTAAAACATTATTTTGAAAATGGAATCAATGGAAAATTCCCAGGAACCGTCAATTATATCGACTAATTAAATATCATTGATTGACAAATTTCGTCTATAATTATGAGAAAAATATATATCAAAGTATGTATATTTAGAAGTCAAAGTGTTAGATGTTTTGGTATAACACTTGTTAATATTCGATTATAAACTACTGTTTAAAGGTACTGGTTAGCTTTGGTCGGTCACATGAAGAAAGTAGTATTTATTTCTGTTATTAATAATATTCAGATGTTGAAGCCATTCCACCTACTATCTCTAATACATCTTTTTCTAAAGATTTACACTTTTTGTCTAAAAAGACATTCCTATTTTGAAATATACATTCTAGGCGTACAGTTATAGTATATTTGAGTGAGCCCAGCGTTATATATTGTAAGATCAAACTCTTAAGGATCCCCGTACCACTACCAAACATTGTCACTGAGTATTGGAAACGTTTCCATGCATGGCTATAGCATTAATTGATCATTTCTGAAAAGATATCCATACCTTGCGGGACTTTAATTAGATATAGTAGAAATGAATTAAACAAAACATAATCAACCACCGTGTTCGGAGTGGAAACAATTCGGGGGGGCTAGACCGGGGTTCGAACACCGGAATTCATATTGTAATGCAAACCAATTGAGCTACCTGAGATGTCCTGGCCCAACGTTTCTCTGCTAAAGGTATATCAAAACGGAAATCAAAGGGAAGTTACTGTATATAGAAAAACACAGTGCAGTGAGACAGAGATCCTAAGGTAATATAAACTAAGAGAGAAATACAGATTTTGATCCAGATGAACAAATTTATATATCTCCCTCATGGCAAAAGGAAATAATAACTTATCATTTTATCGTCACCATCTGACTGGACACCATAAGAGTGTAGGTGCCCAGCGACATAATACCCATGTGCCGAACCGAATGTACCGAATTGTCGCATCGTCATCTGATACCAACTCTTGTCATTACTATAGAAACATTCATATGAATTTCTATATCTTCCGCGTTTAGTTAATGAACTCGTTTAATAATTGTTTCCGTTTCACTGTCTTCAAGACACCTTCGAAAGTTGTTGCTAAGAAAAGACTTTATTAAAGTTTTATCAGGACAAGGGAGGAATTAACACTCCTATAGTATTAAGTATTTAAGTATTTGTACCGTAGGGCGACGCTTGATTATTAGCATAACGAATGCAAACTACGAATGCCTTTTTCAAATAAAAAAATAAATCAGCTGGGAAGTTTTGAGACTGAAATGTGTTTGACACTGCAATAACATTAAGGAAGATATGATATTGTTAACATAAATATTAGCTCTCAAAGGAAACACATATCTGTTTCGTCATATCATGTGATTACTTCTATTATTTGGCGAACTGTCGTACATGTATGCATGTTTTCCCATTCACTAACAATGACAGGAAAAAGTTTAAGTTTATAGTTAACTTGGTTGTATATCATCATAGCAATAATAGACATTGTTTGGCGTTTCTTTTGGTTCCTAAAATATATTCATACCAAATGACGCAACAACATTTTTGTAAGAAAACAAACACCAATTTTCTATTTCGGCAAACACCACAATGTAGATCTGAAACAATGTTTTGTTGACTGTCAAACCTTAGAAATAACGGAAAGTCATATGATTTGTTCCCGATCACAATGAAGATATTGTAAATAACTGGACTTGTATTCATGTCATTCATTATCTTTTCAAATTTTGATACCAAAGCTTCTGAATAAATCCACGCTCTGTGAAAACCAGCCAGAACCATATCTGAATTTGACAGTGCCTTTCGTCTTGTTATAAAACGTTTTAGCGATGGCTTTAACTTCCATCTGCTAGACACATAAAGTTAACCGCTACTGGCGGAAATAGATCAGAACCATCCTGGAGTACCTGTGAACCTTCGATCCTTCGAATCACGGTGTTACAGAATATAACACAAAGGCCTATCCGCAAACACGAAATAAACCATACAAGTAGCACGTTTTACTGTTTTGATTCTCTGCCAAAAGGGAAACAAATCGGTCAAATAGTCCCCTGGACGGATCACTGCTTCGCTCGATAACAACAACACAGCCAACATGTCACTCTCATGTGAAATATTTAAATGTACAGAAGTGCATGTGAAAAATATTCCTGTTATCGAAATGAAACGTTTCAAAGTTTACTTTGATAAATAGCCGTCTTCAAGATGGTATATCTACTTCTAGCAATTGAAATTGTCTTTTGAAGTGACAACGGTTTTTATATCTGAATTGGATGTTTTTACTATTGAAAGACTATGGTAAGAAACCTTTTGCAGACTTACCCTATTCCGATGCCATATATACATCTAGGTGCCGGATCTGTCAAGGTTTAAATGGCAACTGTTGTTATTTCTGGAATATTTTTTATTTTTACAATGGAGGAATATAAATGTCGATATTATATATTCACTATTGGTTTGTTTTACTTGCAGTGCTGGCCATAGACTGTTATGTGTGCTCCTCTCTGCAGCACGGAAACAGGGACTGCGAGGACAAATTCGACCAGAACCTTAAGACGTCCGTGTTTATAGCGAGGAGCTGTGACTTCGGATTCTTCAAAGCCACACACTGCATCAAGCTTAAAGGAACAAGAGGTTTGAGTAGTTTCTTTTCTCTAGACCTGTCGACATAGCGTTGTATCTCCCAAATTCAGATACATTGTTTCCTTGGTTTGAATGATGCTTATGTCCCAGCAGCACGAAAGGTTGAACAGAAGCAGAATGTCTATTTGATACTGCGAAATTGAATGATCATTATGTCTGTCGTAGTTCTTTAAAGTGTGAAGATGTTCTCTTGGCCTAAACATATTCACGCGTGCTTATACGGCATTACAATTGTATCTTGAGTACCAAGCGTTGCTAATACACGAACGCTTAAATTGGCATAAAAGCAGACAGAGATGGATAGCTGATAGAGTATTGGCTCCTCGTTACGTGCTCAATTCCTTACAATAATAACACGAAGGGCTAATGAAGAAGTTAGATCGAGGGACGCCTCGGCTCAGCCTCCGCGTACACTGTCAATCATTATGCAACTCGCAACGAAGGGATATAAGTAATTTTCATCTTATTTATTCCCCTTCCACAAATAATGTTTGTTTATCATTTATTTGAATCCAATTCCTAGACAGAAATATAGGAATACTGTATCAATGAGTTGCGTGCTGCTGGTCTAGACAGTTATATCACGATCAGCGCCCTCTAGATGGCGGGGAAGGCATGGTAGAGGAAGTGTCAACTCCATCAGCGGCTATCCTTCTACACCAGCTTTTGCATCAACTGAGCATTTTAATTGTTTAGTCGGAGCTTTTTCTCGAACTCTACATTACAGATTTATTAATCAGATGTTCACACATAAATTTTCATTTGGAAACATATTGTTCGGAATTATACCCCTAAATTCGGTCATTCTGCACCCTATGTAGCAATGCTTGTACGGGAACTGTAACCAGTCTTATTTCTATAAACAACAAACGTATAACGGTAAGTCCTGACAATATAGTGTAAAAAACGAAATGGAAGGGTCCTAATTTCAGATATGGGCATTGAGATATCATGTAAGCATAAGGAAATTCAAAGAAATTGTTTTTTTCTGAATGAATAATTACTAAAGTTATAGAAAATATTCTTACTTAAGGTGTTTCTTTAAATCAGCAATGTTTTACTATATAAAATGTTTTTGTTAATGTTTTCTTTTTTCAATTTAGGATCCCCGTACCACTGCAAAATACTGTAAATATTCCTTAGAATCGTTTTACTAGCTTTGATAAATCGTTTTTGAAAGAAAACGATGGTTTGCAATTTATTTATGAAAGTATCATAAAAATGAAATGAAAAAAATGTATTACATGTACTAAGTATATGAACATAATGGTACCAAACTGGACCTCCTAGGTTTGTAATGTAGCTCTAACAATCTGAGCAAACTTTTCAACGGTGGTACCCTAGTGCGGTCGCGAATCTATTATATTCAAAACCTGGTTAACCGAAGTTTGATGTTGGACAAAGGTTGGACAAAGGATCCTTAAGCATTATTCAGGAAAACAGGAACCTGCAACTATTCTATAAAAAATTAAACACCATACGTTTGAGAATACTTAATGAAGTATCTACGTTTGAAACATGAATTTCTGTTGATTAATTTCATATCAGTAAAGGTCTTGTTAAGGCTTTGCAGTAGATTTTATAATACATACTGTAGCTTATCTTATTAGGGAGATATTTTCGGTCAATTTTATTTGCATGAATATGCTCTTGAATCAGATGAAAATATAATTGATAATTGCGTTTAAGTATGTTTGTTCAAAGGTGAAGAAGGTCTTTCGTCTTTCGCATTTTTTTTTTAATTCTTTTTTAATAATTATTCTCATTAATTAAGAAATGATGATCACTGAGATACGAAAGTAATGATATTGCTGCTGCAATCAATACTTAAGTCCATAACTTTGTATTTTCTAAACAGTTGAATGAGGTGAATTAATATGTAAACAAATGTCTCAAGTGGATATTAATCCTTTAGCTAAACTATACGTACGTACTTCAAGTTAGATACAAAACACGAAACTCATTACCTGTTTGTTGAAGACATTATCAAGATGATACTATTACTGAATCAGTTTGATAAGATCGTGTTGTGCATTAATGTCAACAGGTCTGACAAAGGAAACCCGTTCATTGTTAACATCAATTGACTAAAACTTCGTTCGATGTAACCCGACATTATTTGAGTACTATTTTACTTTTAAATCTGTCGACATGTTTGTTATGTGGATTTTCCACATGTGTCGGATGGATGAAATGACGGCGTAAGAGTTAAGAAAAAGTTACATTGAAATTAAGTTAAACATTACTTGAACTTCAAAAATGAACCGATGTGTTCTGTGAAAAGATCAGAATCTTATTGTTTTACCAGACATACAGATCATAGTCAAATAAGTACAATACATGCAAATTGTATGAACAATTCGAAGCATAAATTTTCCTAATAAATAGTAGGATTATTTTAAATTATTTCAAAAATAAGCAGGGGTTTTTTTCACCGTTAATCTCAGCACTATATCATCACAAATATTTCTTGTGACAAATGCTATAACCATTTATAATATAAGCCATAAAAAGCTCAAAAGTACTCTGTAAATGTTACTTATTCTTTTCATCAACGTTGAAATTATAAATATGGCTATAAAATATTACCTTTTACAAAAATGATTCTACTCATTTGCATTAATATTTTGCTAAGCCATGATCATTAAACGTTGAATATTGCCGCTTTTATCATTTAAGTATCTAAACACAACATTTCCTTTAGTTTAAGGGTTATCCTTGAAATAACTACCAACTATATGTCTTGTCTCATAATATTGCCCGTAGTCGTCTAACATTCAATCTAAAATGGTGTGAAATTGAAGCTGCCACTCCATCTCATACCTTTTACTTATTATATCTCATGATGATGCAGAAGGAGTATATATAAAAATTGTTTTATAATCATTACATGAAAACTGCCGAAACATTTGCTATTACAAGCATTATATTGTATTGCATACATATTTGCAATCTGTTGCTGCATTCTTATAGATAATACCATGCTGCTTGTGTATTCAAAAGATTACCTAACAGCATTCGTAAACGTATGTAACACTGTTTGATTACTTCTTAAACAATGTTAAAACCGTTTATCTCTACCGTTTATCGTAGAGGTGCTGGGGTTCTGTTTCAAAAACAAGATGAGTGTGTTTTCTTAATGTTTGCTTTTATCTTATCATGAAGTTGTAAATCGAATCATGTGCCGAGTAAGTAAAATTGTAGACTATAGCTAAGGTATCCTTATTGACCTTGTAGAATGTTGTTATGTACGGTACCTGACTGGTGCCATTTCCATGTTTCGTGTTTTCGCCGCAAAAGACGATAATTAACAATTCTTCATTCCCGTTATTTCATGCTTTCCCCCAACAAAAACGAGAATTAATCAACTTAAATATCGTTGCTTCGTCTTTTCGCCCTGAAAAGAGGAGAAACAGAGAACATATGCTCATTTTTTGGGGCGAAAAGACGAAGCAATGAAAAATCAGCCACCGTAGTTTTGAGCTATGTGATGACGTCTTCAGTGTGTTCTAGCTGTTATCGATAACAGCACACTAGGGGGAGCATTGAGATACGCTAATTTACTTACCGTTAGATTTCATATCTCTATTCTCCACTCGCTTTTATAATACGGATTTAATCAGTAAATGTAGGCAGAATGGACGTTTAATAACTGTTTAAAATATTAAAAGCGATAAGAGTTGTGTTAAAAAAAAAACAATGTTTACTTGAACGAGAATTTCAGCAATTTGGCTGCTCAGATTGTTGTCGTCTGCAATTTGTGAATAGTGTAACGGCGTTTCAAAATGTTCTGCACATGTATGATGTAAATATATATATGTGTGTTAATGGTTGCTAACTGCTGACAATGAAAGATCTGTCATGATATACACCTAGCTTTTAAGGTTGAAGAAGACCACTTAAAGATACAGTTACCCTAACTTTCAACACCTAAATAGGTCTTTTATAAATACCCAAATATTACATAGGAATTAAGACGTGTAATTTGGATATATTAAATAATAATAATAATGATAATAATAGTTCGAGGTTCTTATATACCGCTTTATCACAACCTAGTTCGTAGGTCGTCTCAAAGCGGTTCACAAATTATTATCCCTGGTTATAGGGCCTTTGCAACCAACCAATATCTTTTTCAACTCCCTCGGGAGCATACAGCCGGACCTGCCATTTCGGCGCTAACAGCTAGCATTCAACAATTCTAGCACTGCCCAACCGCGTACTCACTTACCGCTGAGTGGACTGGAACAAGCGGAGTTAAGTATCTTGCTCAAAGATACAACACAGAGCCGTGCCGTGACACGAACCCGCAACCCTTCGGTCACGAGCCCGGCGTCCTACCACTGTGCTACCGTGCCTCCTAAGAACTTGTACTTTAGTTTTAAAAATGGTACATATCGACGCTAATTTAGTATGAACTAAGGCATGTAGACTGATGTCTTCATACAAGTTCACCGGCATCATACCATGTCGAACTCGTTTTTGACCTAAATATTTGCGACAAAATCACATATTATTTATAGTTTATCTCAATGCCTAGGCTATGCAGAGCTAAATTTCTCTTTTAATATTTCAATTTCTCATTTCGTAGCATTCATGTCGTACTCAAAATAGATCGACATGTTATAATCCAGGCGAACTAATATTATAAATCCTATAGTATTGACTTCGTTAACGTTAATGCCGTTTTAATAACAAATGTACAAGTTCAATATATCAAATTTACATCTGTGAATGCCGATGTTTGAGTGGGCTCCTTTAATACGACTTTTCAGGAGGTTGAAATTTAAGGGAGACATCTTTTCAGGAACCTGTTGAACCTTAATAACATTACGTTGTATATCTAGATATAATTTCATGGTTTCAGACCTCTGAATAGTTGATGGTCGCAGTCAAAAAACGTCCTAAAATATGTTTAATATCCATATCAAGTTTTATTTCTGTACATTACTGTATAAAACATTTGTGGGTAGTGTAAACTGCAGTAGATACAGAGAGACCGTGATAGAAGGGAGATAACTCGGTTTTGACTAATTCAGCATGAAATAATTTCACTGTAATAAATGCGTTTTCAAGAATAGTTGACAGTATATATGCTTTATATACAATGTCCTTGGTGAATATATATGATGAATGTAGCATAGTTTGAATTTCATCACATTATATTTTTTGTTCTGTTTGAGGCTGAAGTTGGAGTAAAAACCTTAGGAGATTAGTGTTTTAACAGCCATATGGCATAAGTAAAATTGTTTCACTTGGGTGCGTTTGCTCCTTTTTCTATCGAACAAAATATCAAATAAAATACCCAGAACAAATTTCAGCTATTAAGGTAGATAATATGTAAGGACGCTTTTATTGAACAGTCCTGTACTAAACGGCAGTATCCAGCATTCTTTTAAGCTAGGTTCATACTACACATTTTCTGCATATCACGTCTACATTGGAGAAGTTTGCCGATCGCGTCTGGCATTTCATTCATATATTTGATTCAAGTTTACCTCAGTGGCTGGATTTCGGATCACAGTGTTGACGGATTACACTTCGGGAGCTCAACTATTGAAGAGAGACTTTGACAGTGTTGACGGAATGTACAAGATCATGTCGGCAGCTTACAAATGACAGAGGGTTGATAACCTTGTTGATGGAATTAAGAGAAACGAATTAGCAACATAAACACATTGGCAACATCAAAACCTTTGCAACATCAGCACCATGGCAACATCACAACCAATGCAACATCACAAATTTGACAACATCAACACATCGTCAACATCAGAACCTGGGCATCATCAACATAACCGAATGCCAAAATCATACATAATTAACCAGCATACAGCACTACTTGAAGGTCGTTCACATCACTGACAAGTATGCAGAAATACTTCGGCATCATGAATATGATAGGCTGCGGATAATTTCATTTGCCCATATTATTTTGTTTTTCTTGTTAATACAGGAAGTTCGTGGTGAGTGTTTTTTAATAACCTATCAATCTTATTTGATAGACCGACATCGACACTACAATGATTGAGCTTTCAGACACGCAGGGGGCGCTGCAGTTCTCGCAATTTGTTTTTTGCGTACACTGTCAAATATATGGGGGGGGGGGGGTTCTTGGTTGTTTGATTTTTTGTATTGCCTCACTTTTAGATAATTTTGTTCGTACTGTCAACATAGCATCTGTGATTTTTTTCCTAGTTCCAAATCTAAAATCAAGTGACATTGACTACGAATGCTGTAGACTTCTCGACGACCGCCCTTTCGCTACATTCATATATCTAACACGCACTTTTCTGACGTCTAGTATCAGCCTTTAGACGCCTTCATCCTGGCGTGTTGGCGTCTTATCATATATAATGGCACACATAACAATAAGCATAACAACATCAAATTAAGTTATAATAACTTCAAATCATTCGTTTGGGCCTAATTAACGCTGATCAGTCCTAAAAGAAAAGTCCTAGAACATTTTTTCGACAAACACATTTTTTTTATTATATAATTCCTTATAACATATTTCTAGTAATAAGCATTCAAGATTGGCGTGTTGATGCATAAGCACTATAAAACTGATTAATAATATATAATGCAACTATTATGAGAACGTGACGCTAAATCTAATGATCAACGGAACACGTCAACTAATTGAACAAGCATCCTAATTAAGGCCCTGATTTATTCAATAAAATAAGCAAACATTCTCTTGAGGAAAATAGCATGCATGTACCATGTATGTAGTAAATGTAAAATGATGAATACCTGTACAACTTGGCCCGGAAAAGTACAAGATGAGTATCAAGCAATGAAATTTCCCATAAAGCAATGTGGACCCATTCTCAGGCGGAAGAAATATCTTTCAGCGACTTAGTGGCGGAACTAGGACTGTCTTTCATCGATGTTTCTTTCTATTTGTATTATGTTTTAATATCGTCTAAACTGTCTGAGCTTACTTGTAGCCTGTCCGATGTTAGACCCGGTCATTAGATAATATAAATATATATTCCGGGCATTAAGTTGTTGTTGGCCTATTGTTTATTGATTTATGCACCCGCTTGACCTACACAATACACTCGCGTAGTAACAGGAATAATTGATGTGGCATACAGCCGTCAGAGGAGATCAAACGAAGCCAAGAAAATTGAAGTGCGCTTATTAGGCCCGCCTAGAACTATGCAGGGAACCACAGCGCACGGAGCCTGACAGAACACTGAAATTACTCTATCAGTCAGGATCACCGGCATCCAAAGGTTTCACGTAGAATAAAAACAACGTTATTGATTGTTGTCAACCTGCTTGTCTAATAACCGTCCAAATAATGGATAGGACAATTAGTGCATTAAAGATTACAAGGTTATATGGCGAACATCATTAGGTTATGTTCCGGGGTTGATGGAGGATGTCATCCTGTCGCCTACGTGATTTGTCTGATGAATATGATTCATGATTGACAGTTTTGATTTCCTTTTTTTTTTTTTTTTTTCGGTATAGAGTACAGACAGACGTTAACACTAGCAGCGTATCGTCGTTGGTACTGGTCAGCCATCCCTCGAAGAGAATATGCCTTCTGTAAGGTTCAAAATATCCATTAATGATCGACCGTGTTAATTTCCTCATTTTTTTATTATGTAGAGTAAGGACTTATGTTAATACTAGCAGCTTGATACTGGTCAGCAATCTCAAGATGAAAATATACCTTCTGTAACGTTCATAATGTGTATTTCTCCCTTAAAATAAGCCTCCATTCAATATATCTGAAGAAGCATGGTATTTATTAGATAAACTACTTTACTCCGGAGATTTTCATATGGAGTTTTGCTCTTCACCAACAAATCTGTGCAGCTTGGAGCCTAATGGATGTAGACGTTCCGCCACGAAGAAGAGGTTGGATTGTTATGCAATAAACTACAGTAACTGAACTCCAATGAAATATATAGAGAGTTTTGCTCTTCACCAATAAATCTGTGCAAGTTGGAACCTCATGGATATAGGCGTTCCACCATGTAGAAGAGGTTAGATTTTTATGAGATAAATTACTGTACTCCAATGATATTTATATGGAATTTTCGCACTTCACCAACATATCAGTGCAAGTTGAGGGTTCTGTCAAATGGATGAAGGCGTTCGGCTACGCAGACGAGGTTGGGTTTTTATGAATTAAACTACTGTACACTAGATATTTTCAGTCTCATCAATATATCATCACAAGTTGGCGCTCAATAGATGTAGGCGTTTAGCCATGTAGTAAACATTCGATTCATCCAAAACAGATGGAACGAAAGTGGTTCTACGGGTGGGCAATTGGCTCAAAGATCGATGGAATTACATTTAGATTTTTATCCTAATGTTACATTCATGTTGATAAATACACAAAATGTGTACATGCGTATTTCTCTATTACCAATGGCTAGCGTGATATGCACACACGAATGCTGCTGGACTCTCGGAATAAGAAATTTGTAAAACGCACAAAAGCCAATAATTTCTGTTACAAATGGCATATGCTCTACAAATTGCACTATTACTTAACATATTAAATAAATGTTTATATTGTTTGTTTTGCCAAAAAGGAAATAAAAAATCAGGACAGATACTACATATCTGAACGTGTGTCAACGTATCGCAATTGCCCTTGGTAGGAGTACTTATACAGTGTAAGAATAATAATTGATTTTTTTAACATGGCATGACTTTTAAAAATATTTATTTGTGTTATGTTGTTAATTGATGTGTCATTAATATGCATTTATGTATCACAGACAAAATACCTGGTAAAAAATCATCTTTTATCTTAAATAACATTACATTACTAAATATGGTTACATTTTGATATATGATGCATATGAAGTACTCATTCGATAAATAAACTCATTTGGTATGAGTTCACTTATTATTTGATTTTCGTGTTACAGAGTACAAACAGATGGTCTATAATAAAACCCGTCCGGAGTAAAAATTGAACAAGAATGAAACTTTTTTCAATTATTCTTAACGTTTTAAAACACGAGAGATTATAAAAAAAACACTATATTCAACTTCAAATTTACTAGGGCAAAAGATGAACAAAAGAATGATTCACATGGAGAACTTTTAAAGGGTACAAGAATCAGACCAGATGTTCCGGAAGGGTGAACGGTTTCTGCTTCATCGACGACACCTGCCATGAAAAACTAGGTTAAATCCAAGTAATGCCACGTCTCCATAGTGAGAATTGGGGTAGCGACAACAGTACAACTAGGCACGCGTATAGGCATATTGAATAGCATTGATCTTCATATCAGACAAAGAAATAGCATATTTCTCAATGGTATCCTAATTGCGACCATGTTTCCGTATCATATCATGAGCTACAGTTATCAAGATCACATACAATTTCAGACAATCCAATACTATTCTCAAAAAAGTATGATCTGAACGATCAAATAATTGTACATATAAGATATATTACAACAAACCATCAACATTTTAATATGTATAAGCGTATGGTACTTGCAATGTTTTGTTTTATATTTTTCAGAGGACGGAACATCTATACTAGTCCGACAGTGTAGCAACGAGGATTGGGGAAGCCATTGTGGTGATATTAAGTACGAGATTGGAGATAAATCAGAGATGGTTTACGGTTGCCTGGAGACGTGTAACTTTGACGGATGCAATACATCCAATCATTTCACAGTAAACAATATCTGCGTGATAGGCATTCTAGGACTCAACTTCCTGGTGCGCAGTTGGCTGTTATAGCAAAGAAAATTATTGCATGAAAATCTACTTTGATATGCCAAACAAATCGATTGATACCCTCTGTGTCATTGTTTTATGCGATGTTGAAAGAGATGTGCACGTTTGTGTACCGAAAAGTGGACCTTACTCTGGGCATTCACAATTGTTGTAAGATGATTTTATTAAGTAACCGTGTAGGTTACTACGGTTAAGTCAGCACAGACGACGTTTGTTTGTTTTGTTCTTTTTTGTTCCTATCCCGTATTATTTATGTTTAAAAGTATAATTTGTCTCTCAACGACGAGAAGATAATTTTACTTTGCATAATATTGCAACATATGTTTAATCATTGACAAAATTGAAAGAAATATTACAGGAATTTGTCATTGAAAATAGCTATTTATGAGGAATGCGTGTTGTTTGTTTAAGTTCTCTTGCTACTGTTTAAGTGGTTAGGTTACGTCACTCTATTAATTGTTTTATAGGGATGGTTGTGATAAATTTGTATATACATTAACAATTAGTGTCAGAATTAAAATGGTTTAGTTCGAGTGAAACTTGATTAATTAATAATGTGCTGTAAGGTATTTTGGATACTAAGTTACCCTTGGGATTTGAATCTCCGACATGCTTTTAATTCATTGTGAAATTACTCCATGGTGAACCCAAATATGTAAACAGTTTATATTTGGTTATTTTATATAAGATATAAGTGATTGGGGTAGAGTTAGCTCCCGTTAAATATGTATTTATATTATATAATATTCAGAATTATATCAATGTATGAATGCATACAATTCCCCCTTTTTCATCAATTGATTTTCTTGGTCCAAATTACTATTCAAGAATGAGTTACATGTCAGAGTAAAAAATACGTTTATTAAGTGCTAGACACAGTAATCTTGAGTCAATTACTTTTGACACCAGGTTACTCATCCAAAGGGATAGACATGTTAACAATGTGTCCGTGTGTTTCCTACTGCAGTACTGTGATCTAAAATCTTTTTTTTAATTCTTGGTTTCATTTTGATAGATTTAGATAATGATAAGTACTTGTATAGAAGCTATTTTGTATTCTATGGCAACGAAATTTCAACATTTACAGTTTGTTTTTATTTTATCTCTTAGTTTGCTATTAATGTCTATTTAGAATAGGTTATTTTGTTTTCTTTTTGAAATTACACAATAACATTTGTAATTGAAAATCACTGTTTGAAAAAATGTACATTATACTGTTTTTCTACTTAACTATGCACATTGATACCATTTTTGACATGCATGATGTATAATGTAAAATTGAAACATATTTATGTTAATTAAATGTAATCTCTCATGTAGTAACCATGGGACCATTTATGTGTTTAAGTATCTGTCTTGTCCAGTCTATACAGTGTTTCTTATTTGACCGTTTGCTACAGAATCGCAATACATGATCGATATATTTCCATCGTAACCTTTGAAGGAAAAATTAATTGCATTTAAATACTAAATTCTCTGAAGGTAATTATGCCCCTTTGCGAGTGTGTATATGCTGTTTAATAACGATTTTGTTGAAAAGATGTTTTGAATTTTGTGTACAAACTTAAGTTACTGGCCTTGTGATACACCCGTAGAGATGGGTACACCGTGACGTGATCTACTGCATAAAGGCACATAACATAACACTGTACACATTTATATGGGGTATGAGATTTCTTGGATTTTATACATCAAAGCGCCGTGTATCCGAACACATTTTGGATACATTTTTTTATTAAGTTTTATGGTTTGGATATAGTGCTTTAAGCATTAATAGGTAGGTGGGCTTGATCATTGGGTTACCTGTACCTAAAGCCAAGAGTATGTGTTTAAGTTACCTTTCGTACCGTTAATGGCCGTCTTTTGATTTTTAAAATGTATTAAGGATCCCCGTACCACTGCCAAAACATAAATCATGAAATGGATGTTTTTACCTGCATGACCAACGCTTTAATTAATCTTTTCTGAAAAGAAACACATACATGTTTATGAAAAAAGCAAAGATGAATTAAACATAACAGAATTCAACAATAGTGTTCTGAGAACAAAAATGTTACTGGGCCAGACCCGGATACGAACCCTGGACCTTGAAATTGAAGGGGGAATATTGTTTTATTATAAAGTATTTTGCCAGCTATGGGACAGAGATCCTTAAGTAAGTAAGCGTGTAATTATCATTGAACACACTCATGGTGTGTTGCTGTTCGAATTCCTTCCAAGTGCGTAATGCATGTATATATAACATCGAATTGATATTTTAACGGTAATTCGGGGCATTGGGTAGGTTCGGTTGTTTGCAAGTTCGGATATGCGGCAGTCAGATTTGAAACGTTCAACTGTATATTGTAAATATCTTGTGTTATACTGTACACATTCTCACTCTTAAAACCAGTTGTATAAACTAGCATTTCCAGTTCAGAATACGGCATAGTTTTAGGAGTGTCACATCAACCTGCTTTTAGTGCACCTATCACTAACCTTATTTACCGGAGATTGACATAATTATGCACTAGATCCGAAGCATGAATACAAAATAAGCTGGTTATTCATATACGGGTCACAATAATCAGCAAGGTTGGAAGACGTTGTAAGATAACGGATGTACTGTCTCATAGTTTAATCGAAGTTAAACGATAAAACACTTTTTTGTAATATATGTGTTTGATCGGGTATGAACATACTATTTCAGCCTAAGATGCTATGTTTTCAAAGTAAAAGATTGCATCTAAAATTGAATAAAATAAAGTATGATAATATCAAGAAAGACTTAATAAAATGATAGACATCATACTTTAATTAAAACCGATACTTCTAAACGTGATATTAGAGTTGAGAAACGCAGCTTGTAATGAGAATCACAAAGTAACTACAGCACCACGTAAACGCAGCTAGTTTCGAGAACATCGACTCCTTTCGAGATTCATACGAGCGTACACAACGTGACGTTGATTCGCTTTTAGAACCTGCCAGAACCCAGACATTTCAAGCATCATTGTCTCAACCAAACGTAAGAAGAATGAACGTAACACGCATGCACACACGGGTGACTTCACCATAACAACTTAGTAACCATACAGTATACATACATTTAATTACACTGCATCATACAGCTGTTGCAAGCTAGGGGCAAAAAGGATGGACATCCAAAAAGGCCTAAACAACTGTTGAAGCAGAAGGAAAGGCGCTTAAAAACCTTTAATTTATGAATTTCGAAAATGTTAAGCACTGGTTAACTCAAGTACGAAATTAATATTTATTTATGTTCTCAAAGCAAAAAGCCAAGCAAACACAATTATTTTATTAAATCATATGGCAATTTTATCTATTTAGGACTCTTGATATGAGGGGTCCAAAAAAATAGCAATTGGCAATAAACATACTGTCGTGTTCATTATTTGGTGTATTACAGTTGGGTTTTAACAGTCGATTAATAACACATAGCTTATTAATTTGCTTTATTGAAATGGAATTGAAATGTTTGTGTTTTAATAAGTTTGTTACTGAGATTTGTTTTGATTTGTTTACAAGATATAACTTGTAGCCTGCTTGCCCGTTCCCAATTTCCGTATGTATATTGGAATTAAAACCAAATAAAATTAAAACATTCAAATGTGTTATGTGTTATTATATATTTGAGTATTACACGTCCATGTAAAGTGTTTATTATGGAGAGGACCCCTGTGGTGTTACAATTAATATTTGTGAATTAAAATTGAATTTAGAGTGTTGACACGGAAATCGCTTTTGCATAAGCATATACAATTTTGAGTAGTTTTACGAACACCAAGTAGATTTTTACAGAAACTTATATGTAACTTTTCTATATCTGCTGCCTTTTGGCTTCCCCATATTTCAAACCCATAGTTTAAAATGCTAGCGACAGATGTATCGAATATATCAAAATAAAAAATTGTTTCTGACACCCATTTTGTAACGACAAATAATGCTTTACGACCTTGTTCTGCTACTTTTTGTTGCGCTTTACGAAACTTTCCGTTATAATTCAATAACACGTCAAGGTAATTAAACTCATCTACAATGTCTAAATGAACCTCATTATATATCCAGTATTCATTGTTACTCAATTTACCACCATTTCTAAAATCAATCACTTTAGCCTTATCATTATTCACTGTTAAATCGCACTTATTAGTATAATTTAAAAGATAATCTAGCATCTTTTGAAGACCTTCAGGAGTTTCTGCTACAATGACCATGTCATCAGCGTACATTATTAGGAACAAATTGAGTAACTGTAATTCAATAGATGGACAATTTTCTTCTAAAAAGGAAAATAAAATTGGCGACAGAATTTCTCCCTGGAATAATTCGTTTAACTGTTTCATATAATGATCTTATTATAGTTAACATTTTACCATCAATACCTTCTCATTACAATTTGTGCCATAATTTTTTGAAGTTTCGCGAAATCAAATGCCTTTCTATAACCAACAAAACAGCAATACAGCCTTTTTCGTTTCTTAAGTGTTTTTCTTAAAAAATGCAATATAAAAATGCATCGACAGTAGACATTTTCTTTTTAAAACAAAATTGAGCTTCAGAAATCTTACAATAACTTCTGTCATAGAGGTAAAAGTCTTACCGAGGCGACTAACAAGAGATATACCACGGTTATTATTAGCATAATTGGCATCACCTGGTACAATGCATCCTTGGCAACAAAGAGTAGGATAGTGACCTGACCTAATACATTATTAAAAATCTTAATTAGGCAGGGTAACAGCAATGTCTTACATTTGATAAAGTATTCGTTTAAAACATTGTCACTTCCCGGTGTTTTATTCATATCTAAATTTCTAATAGCTGCAATAATTTCTTCTTCTTTAAATTCCCTTTCTAATTCTGAAAATAAAGCAGAATAATTAGAACGGTCATTATTATTTAAATGATTAAAAATATCCTCATTTATGCTTGGTACCAAAGTTGCCAGGTTTAAAAAATGATTAAAAAGGTAATTCCCAGTTAATGGACTTTTCTTCAATTTATTACGTTTTCCATTTTTTTAATAGAATGACTTATGGTAATGCTTTCTTAACTAATTCGTCTGGTTTCCATTATGCCCCTTATATTCTCTCTTGAGCCTAGTTTTATAAATCTGATAAACACGATTTTTGTTGACTAATGTTTTACGATTTTCTACTGTTTTCGAAAAACTAAAAGATTTGAATGCAGCTTTGTAATCTTTATAACGTCTTCTAGAAATCTCATTAAACCAAGGTTTATCATCACACCGTTTCAGTTGCACCTTTTGAGAAATATTTCGAGAAATAATTTGCGAATAAAAGGTTGAACAATATCATTTAACATCACTGTGAATTTCTCAATACATTCATAAATACTTTTAGAACTAAAATCAACAGGGTCACACAAAACGACCAGTTCATCAATATGATCAGATATTGCTTTGTTTACATAACCAGTGTTCTCTTCTCTCCATTTATACTTTACATGTGTTTCACTATTAATATGTTACTGTGTGTATGTTGTTTGACTTAATTTCTCAAAGATTAATTTCAGACAAAAAGTAACAGACGAATGATCTGAAAAAATATTAAAGATTCCAGATTAAAAATTAGTTATACTAGACAATGTCGATTCTTCTACTAACAAATAATCGATTAGACTAGTTCCTCTGTTACTATAAAATGTTATACTGCCATTAGGATCATCATGATGTCTTCCATTTACTATTCGTAAAGATGAGGCTTTACACACAGTGTTAACAACTGTCGACCGAACTGGTTGACAGTCTTATTTTCCCTACTGCGTATCTGCATAGTTGTATCTGGGATATATTATCAGGCATCGTGTTAATAATATGATCAGTAAGCCTGTCATTTCTTATACAATCACAATTGTCACCAGTCCTGCTATTAAACTCTACCATCGCTATAATGCGATGATATCCAATATACTGACTGATTAAGTTTTCAAGAGTTAAAAATAGATTGATATGTTAATCATGATAATATGTGCTATTTGCTGGTGGAAAATAACAAATAAAAGTATTTAAATCTTTGTCGTCTAAAAATAGGCGTCCCGATTTTTTCAGTAATGCATTACTATCTTTAACGTTAGTTACAAATTCACAATAACAATGATACCTCCGCCCTTACCCTTAGTTCGCGGAAATATTTGCCTAGTACGAGCTCAGTGGAGTAGATTTCAAGTCGATCTTGCTTTTTCCTTGCTGAGCAAAATTTATTACAAAGACTTTCAGAAGAAGAATGAAATGAAACTTAAATCAAATATCTAGATCTACTAGCATGTCATTAATCCTATGATCGAAATTTAACTCATTCGTCCCTGAAATTTAACAATGAACTATCAAACCTTTGAGTTGGAGGAGTTCAAATATGTCTTCAGGGGTGAATGAGTAAAAGACTGCACTCACTGCTCCATCAACTTTATGTCTTGACCTTTTCCTCGGCAGTAACATATCCTACTCCTACTGACGAAGTTTACATGTCGCAGCTGATCATGATTCTCTGCTTTAGAACCAGTAATACTTATGATTGCCAATACAGATTCTCTAATTAAATACGTATCAAGAGTATTCTACCGGAAAGATTTAAACTACAATTCAGAAATCTTATGCTCGTGATAGGATCTAATATCAATGTCTAACGAAATAAAAGACTTATCCACTGACTACTTCTGAGGTCATTAGTGACTAATATAGTTCCCTGGTCATAATGGTCACCAAACATGGTGCAGACTGAACGTTCCCAAGTACCCGGCATTGTCCTCAGATTGCAAGAGGGATTTTTTGTGTTTTCCCCTTCTATATTAGGTGAATGTTGGTTTAATCTGTCTTTGTATTTTTGTAGCGATTCCAGTTCCGTTTGGTCCTTATGTGTTGAAGCTGTATATCCACATTTTATATTTTATTTATTCTCATTAGATAGAATTTTTATTTTTTTATTTTACATATGTCAATCCTAGAGCTCAGTGAAAAATACATTCTAGAATCATGTTAACATTGTTGCGTTGTTAGAATAGGATATAATTTATGAATGAAAAAAAACCGATTAAATGCAGTTGGATTAAGGATATTTGTAATATCCTTTGACACGTTAATGTAAAATAGAATTACTTTAAACATCCCAGAAATCAAGATATTTGACTTTTTCACTTATAACAACGTGTAAAAGTCAATTAAAATTGTTCTTACCATACAAACAATCTCACTGGTCGAATGTATTACTAAAACTTTAATATAAATACTGTATAACTAGTATATGTGTTTTAAAACTCAGTAGCGTTTGTCAGGCGGTGGTGCATATCGCGATATATCTAATAAAGGGAAATAACTCGTAAAGGTTTAAGCGAATGTTAAGGAAAGACTTTTGAATATAGAGAGTCCCGTCGCTCAATTCTATCGCATATGTTCTCTAAATTCCAGGGGTTACGCTCTCTTACCTGCAAAGAACGTACGTGAGCGTAACATCTTGAGCATCGAGAATGACACTGACATTTCAATTCTGTGAGCTTTTTTACGGGGTTATAACACATATGAAGTATTCCTAGAAATGGTGCAGAAAATCATTAAAATAAAAATGCAACGACAGGTATCACAGTGAATAAACCCCCCACTTTATAGTAAAGAGGTCAAGGAATCCAGGGATAGAACCAGGAAACGTTTTTTTAAAAAAAAATATATACATATATATATTTCTTTTGTATATAGCTCTTTGGCAAAGTAAATGAGCAAGCATCTACAAATTAGTAAAATGCAAAACACATTGGAACTCTTTTTTGTTGGAGATATAACACAGATCGTTGGGACTCCCTAACTTCAACTAGTGTAAGATTGACTAATTAGGTATAAAAGGTATGCCCCAATGCAACACCTTAAACAAACAAGGTGAAACTGGGTCAACGTATTGGTAGAGTTGGGTGCATGTGACACCTTAGTTTGTGTGACTGCTGTTTTTATCTGAAAGGATCAAGGACATAACACAAACAAGATACGTTTCAAGTGTAAATAACCGTAAAGGTTACCGACCTGACATCGTCAAAGCATTGTGCATGTCACCGCGAACATCACCAATCGAGCCCTAAACTACATAATATCTAGACATCATGAATGGCAGAACTTGGACAAAAACCTCTAGCTATGGTGAATAATGTAATGTACATTACAATGACAACCATAAAGACTAAACATTAACGTCATGTATGCTAAACATTCACATTTAAATGACGCGATATATTGCTCTTTAAACCTGAGGTAATGCTAACGAAAATATACACCCTTTTATAAAATTAGTTGTGATGGGGGTAAACTGTTGTTGACATCAACATTATCATAACAAAGGTAGGCGTGTCACCTTCTCCCTGTGTGCATGGCTAGATAAACAACTATCCACTCTTCATTAAATTAACGAAATATATAAAGTATCTAGTTATAATTTGTTATTATCCGTGTAAACATAAAATCTATAATTTAATCTATATGAAAATAATCATACATTTTGATCTCTATTAAAAATACAATGTTTAACAATAAAAATTAGACTGATTAAAAACTGATGGTATAAATATATTATCAAATTTATAAACAACCAGTCATGGCACTATTTAATGTTGTTTCCGCTGAATCAATTTTTGTCGAGATTGTAGTCGGTGTCACGTCGACACTTGAACCAGTGATAGATAGGGTGTATAAATGACACTGCTGTTAGGCATATACAGAACACGTCAGACTGAAATAGAAAAGTAAACAGTCAATCATGTTCTTATTCCATACCACAAAATTGTATATGGTTTATACGGTTCATTTACCTTCTGATCAAATCAACGTGTCAGCACGTTCAATGTATAAATAGGTCTGTAATTCAAATGTCAATAGTACTTAAGTTTATTTAGTAAATCACGCATCGTAGTCATGTACTGTAGGTGTTTTGACAAAATATTAAAAAAAAAATGAATTGAAAGTAAAAATTTATAAATCCAGATTCTCAGTCAGAATGACGTGAAAATCACTAACTATATTTACACTCGATACAATTGAATGAAGAGCTAAGCAAAAAACCATATTTGTTTGGTTTTTAAAAATTAATATCTGGCACAAATCTGGTTTCACTTAAACGTATATTTGCATGAATAGATACACTAAATTTTAAGCTTAATGATAAGATATTAATAAAAATTGTCTGCCGCAAGCACGACATTTTATTATAAAAAGCTTAATGATTCGGAAACAACCAAGCGGCTTATGTAAATTTGTCATGTTAACATATTTTAGGATACGTACATGAACGGGGGCTGCTTGATAACTCTGTGACCAGGTGAATAATGCAAACTGTAGACAGCCAAACACTCCTGCCGTTATTATCATTATTCCGTATAACACCTCAAAGTACTCGCTCGGAAACCTAGAAATATAAAAACGCCATTTGTATGAGAAAAAGAAACAAAATATTAGAACACATCATTTAAATAGTTAAGATTTTGCGACATCGTTTGGACTTTTTTAAAAATGGGTCACGTTCTTCACATAATTGTCCCATATCTGGCCGTATATATACACACATACAGCTTACAAAATTTCAGTATGTATAAAATGCATCGTATTTTATAAACATATGAAGCGTATATCGCGATGAATTATTAAGCAAATGAAAACAATATTATTTAGTATGAAAATAAAAACCACTGACGTTATAACCCTAGTTATACATGTATAATTGCTTAATTATAAGTACAAGAATACATTGTACATTAAGGTAATATGCTATATTGCAATTATATTAACTTGTTATCCAAAAAGACGTCCGAACTAAAATAAACTGTCTTAATCTAGTTTATGATTTAAATTTTTGTAATCTTCTATTTATCGATTAAACATTTTAAAGGTAAAACAAATAAATACACAGATTTGATTCTGCGTTATTATAGCTTATTCGGTTCAAGGGTGACTCTCTAATGCAAATCACATTTGCATATTATATTAGTACATGTGTTTATATAGGAACCCAATATTCGAAATATAACGTTTCTATATCACTCAGACGCTATGTATCAATATATGCGTTAAACATTTACACCGTGGCTAGGAAGGTAGTTGCGGAACTGTACAGGAATGACCGTAGTAATGTCATGACGATAAAATCGCCATACAGGATGTCCAGACTGGGAACTAGGACCATCACAGACAGGAGCATACCTAAACCACTACCAACACTAATGGGCAGGATGGAAGGCAATATTTGGCGCTGGAGATGTGAATGTCTCTCTGGAAAAACAAAATCGTCAACATATTACATAAGATCATGATGAAAGACACAGCAGGTAGAACATTTTTGAGACGATATATTGACAAACGCCGTTTGAACGAAGCATCTATTGAAAATTCTAAAATCGATAAAGAGCCAAAAAAAGTTAACAGTTTTACTATATAGTCATTTGACCGTTTATGAATCATTAATTATATGATCTCCGAAATTATATATAAAAAAAAAACATATATTCATCATTGGTGTCCTTCATTAATTCATGTCTTAAGGTTAGACAAAAACAGACAACAAAACATGAAAAACACTGAAATGTGCTTACCAGAGCCTACACACATAACGTGTTCTATAATATACAATGTATTCTCCTTTCAAACTTTTGTGGTCTTTTGTGATATTTTAAGTGATCTAATATTTTGATACTTACCGCGAAATATTTTTCGTTGCCAATCATATACAACTCCAGCAAACGAGGAAGAAATAGCGCCACATACCATTGTATACATCATGGTATTGGTGAATTGACTCACTGTAAAATGACATTGGAATTAAGAGCATGCCAACCTTACACGTTTTACCTATTAGATATGTTAAATACACGACTATTATCTTCCGGACAAATAAAATAAATACCACAGAATCAATACACGAGAATGTAGTTCGATATACCTATCGGTTTAAAAACAGAACAAAAAGCCCAAAAATAAAAGGAAAGACAACAACAAGAATTGAGAAAATCCCGAAATAAAAGGAAAGACAACAACAGGAACTGACAAAACCCCAAAATCAAGGGTATGTAGGCCTCTAATATTTTAAGACTTAATCTTCTTTTATTGATAGGGATGTTTTCATTAAGAACATTTACATCTGTATGTATTGATACGTATTTGTGCTAAATAAGAACATCTGCATTCGTATGTATGAATATCTATTTGTTTCATTAAAAATATTTACATTTGTATATATATTTTAATCAACGACGTCATGTCTGGTAGTCTTACATATTGAAATGAGAAATATATCAAACACAGCTGTGCAAAGTGTTAAATGTAACTTAAAAGCAGATGAAGAAATGTTTTTATTCATCAAAAATCTTTAAATCTTTCTATAAATTTGTGAATTAATTATCATCCTTATCATTTTAAAATGCTTTAATACTGATTTCGTTTGTCGGAATAAATGTATGGTATCAATAGCCACAATATGCATATGTCATATATGCATATTTATATCAAACAGTTTATCAAGTGAAGTACTTATAGATATTGAGTATAAAATATAATGAAACTACAATGATATATGCGCCCCACTGATCAACCCACAAACCTACAACTGACATTGGCTCCATCACCTTTACACTAATCAAAGATTTTCTACTGGAGCCCCTCCATCCTCGGATCCGTCAGAAAAGCCCACTGAGTCTACTTCAGGACCAGCCCGAACCATTGATTATGATAAAACCTTCCACTTTAAGTGCTCCCACTGAGATCCATAAGTAAGAAAATAAAACTAATCCTAATGAAATGAACAGGAGACAGAGAAAAGATCAAGATACAAAGGAAAACAGAAATCATCCGAAGGCCACCATTTATCCCAACTTAGTAATGGTTAAAAACATTATCTTAGTGAAACCACTGCAAAAGAACAGCATATTGAGAATATGGAACTACCCATCACTAAATGCAAGAATGTTCATTGTCATCATCACAAGATCACTCCAGAAATGGACACAAATAATCATCTATTTAAAAACATATCAAATAACGGAAATATATCACATCTGTTGTAAGACTACTTATACAGAGAACCAAAACTGAAGTTTACATTGATGATATTATTATCTAGCCTTACACTTCAGGGAAGCACTCCAAATCTTTGGCTACTATGCAAATAACAGCTTACTATGTGTTGTAAAGACGTTTGCCACTGTTGACCACCAACTCTATCATTCTGCCATTGACCTATTGGATTTTTTATTATTCACTAAGTATTCTCTATTTATATCTGTGTGAACAGTTACTTCCTTGTAACATAGAAATGAGTATCTTTCTTCCTTATGTTCATAACAACACTACTACTATTGATGACGTCATTATACCTATGATGTCATAATTACTTATTGTTCACAATTGATTATCTACCCCTGGCCAAAGCTCATTGTCCATTATATAACAATATCAAAGTTATCCTCCCTAAGAGTACTTTCGGTGTCTAAAACATTGTATAAATTGTCTTGATGAAGCCTTACCTTTAGAGGCGAAACTAGTCGGCTAAATAAACTTAAAACCCCACTTAACTGGTGACGCTTGAGTATGTTGTAATTATAATCCTACTTTAAATCTTCATATCAAGTCAAACAGTATGACAAACATGAATAACATTGCATAGGTCAGCTGTTTCATTAGTGATGTTTGATGCCAAAACGAAGGAAATCCAATTTGGGATATGGATATCTGCCCTTATGTCCAACACCCGTCTAAGATGAACGAAATAAAAACACCAGGTGATTTAACTTTCGGAATTTGGAAAATGAAACAGTGTGACGAAGATATATTACACTGCGTCATACTTTGGAATTTGGTGTCAGAATCTCTGCAAATCCCCGACCCTCAGCTCTGTCCCAAATTCTAAACCCAATCAGAATTTAAATTACTACAGAAATTTCTTAATTGGCAAAGAATAATATTTACCCTTCTTTCACTGTCGTTTTTAAAAATTGTAGTTAATTCTTTGCAGTTACTTCTTTGTCATTAACTTTTCCTTTATTTTGTATGTTTTTTGAAAGGAGCAAGAGATGGAGAGTTCAACATACATATGGTAAACTGTAGTAAAACTTATGCGTACCTAAAAGTTTGTTGTTATCTGTTATCCTGTGTAGATAGCTGTTCATGGAACCGAGGAAGTAGTAGAACCTCAACTGAAGTATGCACACCCAAAGCACGTGCAGTATATACGTGTCGGAGATGATGCAGTTTTTCAGGGACGGATGACGTCTTCGAGACGTTTCCGAATTCTCCTTTAGTGGTTCGGTAGTTTTTAAATACACTGGCGAATCTGGATCTAAACGTAGAATGTATTGAAAATACAAAGACAATGGGTTACGTTTTAAACCTATTTCTAAAAATAAACAAGGTGATATCAATTTGGTATACAACCACTTGAATTACCAAGTAAGGATTCATCTATATAAAAAGTAAACACAGACAGACAAAATAAGTAATCACCTACTGCAATTGATATTGACATTGCCTTCCATATAATAAAATTAACCTAAACTTAACTTTTTCTAAACATAACAGACTCCTTTTTTTTAAAAGACAACACAAATACATTTTAATTGCAGTTAACGTTTTTACGTGTTTTTTCTATATTTAATCAATGGTACAATTTTATATTTTAAAATATAATAGTTAAAAATAAGATATGTTTAAGAGATGAATACCTTGGATGTCTGTTTTTTCCGTAATAAAGGATTCGACAGTTTCCTCCCCGCCTGCCTGGTTTGACGTTTCCAGCTTATGAATGCGATCTTTGGGCAGAAAAACAAAGGTACTTACTGCAACTATGACTTGCAGACCAGCCAAAATACCGAAAGAATACTGACTCTGCATTCCTTCCTCATACGCAAGCTACGAGTAAAGAGGACACTATTTCAGTGTGTTACATAATATTTAAAAAGGTTAGTAAAGTACATTGAATTAATCAAACTCATAATCATCTTATGTTTGTCAAGCCATGCACTGCATTGACAAAGTTAAAATTAAAATTGATCTATTTGTTTTTTGTTATACATTCAATTTATAGATGTTTGACAGGATAATCCAATATTTGTAGAAATAAACATGGCACAGACAATGTTATGGTTTACATAACTTTATTCTTGTTAAGACATGCAATCATAAAGACAACGTGAGAGTCAAGATCATTACATGCTTTAAGGAATTAGTGTGAAAGCATTGTCAAAGAGTTAAGATCATTCTATAAATATAAAGGCATGCATTGTAAAAACAGTATGGGAGCTGTGGTAAAGGTATTGTTTGTTGTAATATGGATATTGAATATCGCTATCATTGCACAAGTACAATGAGAATATGATAAGGTGTTCCGGAAGGGTCAGCGTCTGCTCCATCGACGTCAACAATCATTCAAAACAAAACCACAAGGCACATTAATGAACGTAATCAAAAATATTGACCTTCATATCACACAAAGAAATAGCAATTACAACTTCATATATCAATAATAATACATGTAAATATTCATCATAATCAATATAACCTTGATAAAAAAATATTACAAGAAACTATACAATTCGACACCAGATACCTTGTGATTAAATCGGTTTACCTTAATGATAAGTAGCACAGAAGACGATGCGTCGTAGGCCCCGCATAGCAGGCCGATAAAGGTGGAACTGCCTTTTACAAATAAGTTGGAGATCTTTAAGGGGAAAAAAGACATTATTTCATGTCTGTTGTCAATATGGTTCATACAAAAGTGTACACATTTTTTATCAACTTCACAATTGTCTATACGAAGTGTAAGGAAAGGAAATAACTACATAATATACGAAAGTCGTTAGTAATATTCGCTCTCGGCGAACATTGATCAATCATAAGCTATGTAACATGGCATGCGCAGATTACTGGTCATATGCCATCTGTTTGATACTTCAAAATGTGTGCATGCCTGCGTATATGCAAGACGTTTTGGTATTCTACTTTTCGTTGACAACATTAATTCAACTTCATACTTTTTTCCATGATACAGCCGCGTTTGAATGATACAAAGCAGACACTGTAGAACCCTTCCCAGACCAAATTATACTGCACCTTGGTTACTCGATTTATTATTTCGAGAAATTCCGTGCAACGATGACTTCGGATATTAAACCTCAACCGTATAAATAATGCTTTCAAATGTCAAATGAATATAGTAGCTTTATATCCTGATACCGAACATAATATGGCTACAAATAAATGACATATTTGTAACTAAATCCAGTATATACCAAACAAAAGCTGCTGATTAGTTAATAAAACAAAAACAATATCCTAACGTTTATCATTTAAAAGATTAAGTCAAAATCAATATAGAAACAGTTAACATGAATTCACACGAGTGTTCATAAATATATAACAACATATGACACTTCACATACATTGAAAAATACTGGTTGTGAATTGAGTCAACGTATGACACTTCACAGACAACAAACAAAAAGTGACCATCTTAGATTTTTAACTGTGAATAAACATATATATTCTTGTGCAAATGATAAGTTCCATGTAATTCCTATATATCAAGCTTCAGATGACAATGTACAAAGAGAGTTAAAAGAATCAATGTTAATCCATATATTATAATCTGGTCTAAATTGTTCTAATAAAGAAAATGTATATGAAAAGTCTGATACTATACTCATGCCTGTAACTATATACATGTATGTTACTATACTCATGTCTGTAACTATATACATGTCTGTTACTATACCCATGCCTGTAACTATATACATGCCTGTAACTATATACATATCTGTAACTATATACATGTCTGTAACTATATACATGTCTGTAACTATATACATGTCTGTAACTATATACATGCCTGTAACTTTATACATGTCTGTTACTATACTCATGTCTGTAACTATATACATGTCTGTAACTTTATACATGTCTGTTACTATACTCATGTCTGTAACTATATGCGTGCCTGTAACTTTATACATGTCTGTTACTATACTCATGTCTGTAACTATATAATACTCATGTCTGTAACTATATGCGTGCCTGTAGCTTTATACATGTCTGTTACTATACTCATGTCTGTATCTATATACATGTCTGTAACTATATACATGTATGTAACTATATACATGTCTGTAGCTATATACATGCCTGTAACTATATACATGTCTGTAACTATATACATGGCTGTAACTATATACATGCCTGTAACTATATACATATCTGTAACTATATACATGTCTGTAACTATATACATGGCTGTAACTATATACATATCTGTAACTATATACATGTCTGTAGCTATATACATGCCTGTTACTATACTCATGTCTGTAACTATATGCGTGCCTGTAACTTTATCCATGTCTGTTACTATACTCATGTCTGTAACTATATGCGTGCCTGTAACTTTATCCATGTCTGTTACTATACTCATGTCTGTAACTATATAATACTCATGTCTGTAACTATATGCGTGCCTGTAGCTTTATACATGTCTGTTACTATACTCATGTCTGTAACTATATGCGTGCCTGAAACTTTATACATGTCTGTTACTATACTCATGTCTATAACTATATACATGTCTGAAACTATATACATGTCTGTTACTATATACATGTCTTTAACTATATACATGCCTGTAACTATATACATGTCTGTAACTATACATGCCTGTAACTATATACATGTCTGTTACTAAACTCATGTCTGTAGCTATATACGTAACTTTATACATGTCTGTTACTATACTCATGTCTGTAACTATATAATACTCATGTCTGTAACTATATGCGTGCCTGTAACTTTATCCATGTCTGTTACTATACTCATGTCTGTAACTATATAATACTCATGTCTGTAACTATATGCGTGCCTGTAGCTTTATACATGTCTGTTACTATACTCATGTCTGTATCTATATACATGTCTGTAACTATATACATGTATGTAACTATATACATGCCTGTAACTATATACATATCTGTAACTATATACATGTCTGTAGCTATATACATGCCTGTAACTATATACATGTCTGTAACTATATACATATCTGTTACTATACTCATGTCTGTAACTATATACATGTATGTAACTATATACATGTCTGTAGCTATATACATGCCTGTTACTATACTCATGTCTGTAACTATATGCGTGCCTGTAACTTTATCCATGTCTGTTACTATACTCATGTCTGTAACTATATGCGTGCCTGTAACTTTATGCATGTCTGTTACTATACTCATGTCTGTAACTATATGCGTGCCTGTAACTTTATGCATGTCTGTTACTATACTCATGTCTGTAACTATATAATACTCATGTCTGTAACTATATGCGTGCCTGTAACTTTATGCATGTCTGTTACTATACTCATGTCTGTAACTATATACATGTCTGTAACTATATATATGTCTGTATCTTTATACATGCCTGTAACTATATATATGTCTGTAACTATATATATGTCTGTAACTATATACATGTCTATAACTATATACATGTCTGTAGCTATATACATGTCTGTAACTATATACATGTCATTAACTATATACATGCATGTAACTATATATATGTCTGTAACTATATACATATCTATAATTATATACATGTCTGTAACTATATACATGTCTGTAACTATATACATGGCTGTAACTATATACATATCTGTAACTATATACATGTCTGTAGCTATATACATGTCTGTAACTATATACATGCCTGTAACAATATATATGTCTGTAACTATATACATGTCTGTAACTATATATATGTCTGTATCTTTATACATGCCTGTAACTATATATATGTCTGTAACTATATATATGTCTGTAACTATATACATGTCTATAACTATATACATGTCTGTAACTATATACATGTCATTAACTATATACATGCATGTAACTATATATATGTCTGTAACTATATACATGTCTATAACTATATACATGTCTGTAGCTATATACATGTCTGTAACTATATACATGCCTGTAACTATATACATGTCTGTTACTAAACTCATGTCTGTAGCTATATACATGTCTGTTACTATATACAGGAGGTGAAAGCGCTAGGGAGGTAATGAGAAACTCTTGTCATTTGGTTTTTTATGTATAATATTTTATATATATATAGTGTATAGTATCGAACTTGTTCATTTTAATTCCCGGTATTTCCCTCCGCCATATGTTGTTTTCATGTTCAGTAAAGCATGATGTATTACAAATTGAATAAAAGGCTACCCATAACCAGCTGTATATTCCTTACTACATTAACAAAAGCATATACGACGCTAATAAGATAATAAAAAGAGACAAAATCGCAAGTCAAAATCAGTACATAAAAGGTGACGACAAACAACGATTAATATTATACAAACAAGTTTTGAGCAGATGTGGTATTAATATTTATTAAAATGCTGTATGCTAGGGAGTATGAATGATACGTTTTCATATTTGCATATCTCAGCATGTGTGATTCGCTAAGCCAACGGAGCAACCACAGTATGCATACATAAGGCAAAACATTTAATCCAACGCCATTGGGAGGTTGACGAAGAAGACAGAGAGGCCCAAAAAGGAAAATATAGCTTGGGTGGACAGCACGGGCGCGAAGGAGATCGATGATCTAGACTTGTGGTTGGCGCGGTAAGACACTAAGTGGACGTTGTCCTGGATGGACATTGGCACGTGCGTGGTGATGCCAAATTGAGTCGCGAGTGAACTGTTCGTGTTGGCAAATATTCACGTGAAACACACACACACACACACACACACACACACACACACACACACACACACACACACACACACACACACCTTTTTGTGGGGTTTGGGACATGTGTCGTGTACGCGTGTGTAAGTGACATATGGTGAGGCAACACCGGTGCTGGGTTACATATCGTGTGATAAGATGTATTGTTGTATTTGAAACGATATACTGTTATTATATATAAATGTTTTAACTTGTTTCAACGCCTCTGTTATATTTCACAGCTCCAACAATCAAATAATTTTAAGTATACCTAACGAAAGATCCCAAACAAATTATCCAGAGATCCGTTCTTTTGACAACTGGGGGCTCGTCCGGGATTGTTTCTATAGATGTTTTGGCTATTGTATTTATTTATTTGAAACGTTCAAAGGGTAAATGGTTGGACTGTGAATTATCACTGAATGTTGTTGATGATGTTTATGTTTACATGTTTATCTAAGCATTGAATATATTCCCTCCACCATATGTTGTTTACATGTTCAGTAAAGCATGATGTATTACAATTTTTTTTAAAAGGCTACCCATAACCAGCTGTATATCCCTTACTACGTTAGCAGACGCATATACAACGATATATAAAAGAGAGTGTCAACACCTAAAGACAAAATCGCAAGTCAAAATCAATACATAAAAGGTGACGACAAACAACGATTAACATTTTGCAAACAAGTTTTGAGCAGATGTGGTATTAATATTAATTACATACTTACTAATAAATACGGGATTTTTGTATATGCGATACGACACAATTGCTCTAACCCATATCAGCCCTCGCCGTATCACACCCCAAAACCCGTATCAGCCCCCGCCGTATCACACCCCAAAACCCGTATCAGCCCGCAAAACCCATATCACACCCCTTTTGGAAAAAAAATCGTTTTTCAATATTTCAAAAAAATAAATAATCATAAGATAGTAGTTTTTATTAGTAAGTATGTAATAAACAGAATAAAACACGCCTTTTTCCATATCACACCCAGTATCAACCCTCGACCAATATCAGCCCAAGGGCCTTCGGCCCTTGGGCTGATATTGCAGTCTCGGGTTGATACTGGGTGTGATATGGAAAAAGGCATGTATTATTCTCTATTTATTAAAATGCTGTATGCTAGGGAGTATGAATGATACGTTTTCATATTTGCACATCTCAGCATGTGTGATTCGCTAAGCCAACGGAGCAACGTCAGTATACATACATAAAAGGCAAAACATTTAATCCAACACAAAATATCAGTTTGCGATTATGACCAGAAAGTTTTTAGTTTTTTTGAAAAAACGTGACAAAAATTCCAATGTTTATAAATTACATGAATATAGAATACCTGAGCATTCGTAATAAGGACAGGCAATCCTCCAACACCCATGATTGCCAATCCCGGAAAAACGAGCCAAGGTTTTTCTGTGAATGATATACGAAATAAAATCTCAATTATTTATACATATTTATTCACAAAACAAATATGATGATGGAGTTAGATTTTATTCAGCACTTTACTCCTGATTAGTTTCACTGTTTAGAACATGATACACATATGAGCATGAATACACCTACAGAGAAGAAATTACCTTGGTGATATAACCTTTTTCTCACCTTTATCAACAAACGCTAGCATTGTTGTTCCGCCAACAAATATCGTCCTGTAAAAAGATAAAAAAAAAAAATTAGTATGTAGCTAGGTAGAGTTGGTCATAAAACACAGGTAACTTGTACATTCTACTTGTGGGCGGATTGGTCGAGTGGTTAACACTCCGGCCTTCCAAGCAGGCGGCCGGGGTTCGATCCCCGAAGTCGCCGTACGAATGTAATATTAGAGAAAGTGTTTTTCTCCTGCCCACACAACTCCAACAACCCAGGTGGAGTATAAAATGGTCTGGTCTGGGGTGGGTGTTGCGGTATCTGTGCTGTAGCATTCAAGTGAGGTGGCACTATAAATGATACCGTTGGAAGCACGGTCCCACTACAAACAGAACACAATACATCTCCAGCACACACACAGACATACACACATATGGAGATATTAGCCAGGTGGCATAGGACTAGTAGTTAGGGCCTGATAAGGCAGCTCCTGCGAATTCCTCAATATTGTATTGATTAAAATGTATATGCTAATTGTATTGACTGTATGAAATTGTATATCTATGTAATGTAAAGCGCTTTAGAGTGGCTTATGTTAGCTAGATAGGGCGCTATATCAAATGTTGTATATTATTATTACTTAGTGAAGCGATCACAAGTGCCACATAAAATTGATAGGTTATTTGGAACTAAACGGCAAATGAACGTATCGTTTGTGTATCATAATACATGTATTTCTTCTACAGTAGAATTTCAAAACAGAAAATATGACAAATGGTAAAATGGCTTATCAAAAAGGAATATGAACATAACAATTACATGAAAAATGTTTATCGTTACGAACAGATATATTATACCTACATGGATATTGTACGAGCGAACCTAGTGCCGGTTTTGTAGATAATGAAACCGTATGCTGCTGAACTTGCACAGAATATTGCTGATCCTATGGTAAATGCCAGTGCAAACTTGTCGTCCTGTGGTTGGCAGGTGAGGTCGTGCTCAAGGTCTCCGTCGGTAGTCGGTGCACTGCTGCTCCTCATGGTCATCACGTTATATGAGCTTTGCCCGTCGATCGACAAATTGGAGTAGAAAAGGGTGACATTTGTGCTGCCTGAACACAGATTTGCATATACCCCTTCCTGTTTGAATATCCATACCAATGGCGCCCATCCATAAATCAGGCCGGCGAACAAGAATGTCTCAAGTATGGCCCAACCAGCTACAAGGTATTTTCGCCACCCGTCGTATTTCATGTTTTACACCTATACTGGATAACCACCTGCCGTAGTCCTCATCTCAAGCATAGCATACCATACTATAGTTTTCAGGACGCAATGACCTAGCTATCTGTGTGAGTTAAAAATAAGTGGGCTGTTATTTGTAGGCCCCGATATCATTGTAACAGTCAAACGTGAATACAGGTCAATCTATTGAAGAGCAACTTGTAGATACATGTCATCATATAAACTCTTTTATTGAATCAGTACAGCACGCATGCTTGAATATACATCTAGATTGACGAGTTAGTTATTACCTGAACACCAATGTTTCTACGACAAACGGTATAGGTACACAAACACCTGTTTAATACATTTTGAATCATTAATAAATCCGAAAACGTGTAATACTTGACAGGACAGTGAGTAAGCTGCAACCACTAGTTAGTTATATATTCTCTGAGAAAAGAAATACTATAAATCAATTATGCGTAAAAATGAGTTGATGACTGTTTTCTGTGTTACACATATACAATGTCAAAAGCAGCTGCAGTTTAGCATGTTATATAATCCTTTAATTGTGGTTTTCGGTTAAATGTCGTCTTCTCTGAAGTCAGCCTTTCGTAACAATAAGTGGTGTTGGTATGGCAAACATCACACTAGAACGTAGCTACATCACATAACAATGATTTAATTGGGCATTGGAGGGGTTAAGTATGAAATGTGAAACTTCCTTGTGTACACAACACGCATGATAATTAGGTAAGCGTTTGACTAGATTTGTTCAGTAAATAAGACATTTCAGACAATCAAAAAAGATCTGGACTTTGTGTTTTCATCATAACAAACACACTAAGGGCAGAATGTTTTATCAGTACATCTCGTAATATCTCAGTTTGGCGCAGAAATAGTTTTAATCTGAAACTTAATCTTACTCCATTACAGCATGCTCAAAGAAATGACCTCACGTAATCCTTGGAGTTGGCCTCCTTAAAAGTGATTTATGGTCCACACAGTGATTATTGTATATATCAAGGTGTTCACGACTCCGGATATTGGTGCTTAGCAAAGGTGTACTCTTAGACAACGTGAATGACCAAGGTGAGTATTTCGAGTGTGTTCCTATTTTTCTCGTTATGTACAGTTGGGAGCAAACTCAACATGGTAGCCTAGTGCACTGGAGTTAACACTGAAGTGAACTGGAGTTCAAATCGATGTGCACTGGGGTTCACATTGATGTGCACTGGAGTTAACACTGAAGTGAACTGGAGTTCACATCGATGTGCACTGGAGTTCACACTGATGTGCACTGGAGTTAACACTGAAGTGAATTGGAGTTAACACTGAAGTGAACTGGAAATCACATCGATGTGCACTGCAGTTCACATTGATGTGCACTGGAGTTACCACTGAAGTGAACTGGAGTTCACATCGATGTGCACTGGAGTTCACATTGATATGTTCACATCGATGTGCACTGGAGTTAACACTGAGGTTAACTGGAGTTCACATCGATGTGCACTGGAGTTCACATCGATGTGCACTGGAGTTCACATCGATGTGCAATGGAGTTCGCATTGATGTGCACTGGAGTTCACATTGATGTGCACTGGAGTTAACACTGAAGTGAACTGAAGTTCACATCGATGTGCACTGGAGTTCACATCGATGTGCAATGGAGTTCGCATTGCTGTGCACTGGAGTTAAGACTGAAGTGAACTGGAAATCACATCGATGTGCATTTGAGTTCCCATCGATGTGCACTGGAGCTCACATCGATGTGCAATGGAGTTCGCATTAATGTGCACTGGAGTTCACCTCGATGTGCAATGGAGTTCGCATCGATGTGCACTGCAGTTCACATCGATGTGCACTGGATTTCACATCGATGTGCACTGGATTTCACATCGATGTGCACTGGAGTTCACACTGAAGTGCACTGGAGTTAACACTGAAGTGAACTGGAGTTCACATCGATGTGCACTGGAGTTCACATCGATGGGCACTGGAGTTCACATCGATGTGCACTGGAGTTAACACTGAAGTGCACTGGAGTTAACACTGAAGTGAACTGGAGCTCAAATCGATGTGCACTGGAGTTAACACTGAAGTGCACTGGAGTTAACACTGAAGTGAACTGGAGTTAACATCGATGTGCACTGGAGTTAACACTGAAGTTAACTGGAGATCACATCGATGTGCACTGGAGTTCACATCAATGTGCACTGCAGTTAACTACCGTTCACAGGGTAATTTTCTTTATCCTATTATGTCTGGCCTTTTCATCAGTTTATACATACTATGATTTTCTCCTCTCCCGTCTGCTCAATAAATCAATAAAATATTAGATGCTACCTATTCATATACTTAAAATGATTTAAGAAGTACCCTTTAATGAAAATAGCATTATAACTATAGCGCGTGATGACCTATTGAATTATTACCATTTGCACCGACTTGGATCCATGGTACATGTATATACATGTATTGGTGGTTTAAAGTGAATAATACTTTGTCTTAAAGACATAATCACCATTGAAGTTCCTTTATAGTTATAAAAGTATTATGTCTACATCTAATATACACATTTATCATTTTATTATTAGTACATGATAATTAGTCTTTTTCTGTATGTTCATTTTGGGGGGAAAAGGAAAAGCTGATGTAAGTTACTACCTGTACTGTGAATAAGAAACAAAAGCTATAAATATATTTATTGTCTCATTCATGATGGGTAACAATGTACTGTAGTTACAGGAATTCAGATCTGAATTCCAACAAAACATTTATTTAGAAACAGTTTAATATGTAGGTATCCTAATTGACTTTTGTACAGGTAAATTTAATCTGTCTGAACCCAGTAGCTAGCACAGGAGAAACTGGAGTTGAAATGCCCTCAGAGTGTATGTATTACAAGGTATAGGGTCTGATGCCAAATTACATTTACCTCCTGATCAGAACCAAGGGGCAAAATCGGGGTAGAAGGTATTTCAGTATCAGTATTTATGACTATAAATCATTCAAAAGAACCTGTTAAAAGATTTTAAAACATTTGACCCCTGTGACCTTGGAAGTCAAACAAGTAAAATATTGACGCCGGACGACAGACGGACGACGGACGCCGCGCCATGGCATAAGCTCACTTGACCCTTCGGCCAGGTGAGCTAAAAACAGTTGTAGCTATTGACTCCAAACTTGATAAGAATGTTCATTATGAGGTTCCTATAGCGTTCTTACTTATTTGCCCATCCTAAAACCGAAATGGCAACCTGGCCACTTGTTACCCGAAATATTTTACCTTCTCGAGCATTGCTTCTGTTAGTAAGTCCAAAACAAATTTCCCTATGAAGTCCCAACAAAGGGTACTTATTCTTACGACCATTTCAAAATGGCCACCATTGGCTCTGATAGATAATTAACTGCAACATAAATATATTCTCATGCGATATTTAAGGCCCCTCAGTCTCTTGTTTTTCTATTTAATCTCAATAAAATACCACCTTTCGCCCTTTTTCAGCTTCGTCCACTCATTTTCTATACCGGGACTTGTTAATCTAAAAACGAGGCCCAACTGCATCTGGAATAAAATAAAGATTATGCATAATGGCCTGCTGACGCATTTAAGTGGGCACCGCTCTTCTAGAACTACCACTATAAAAGACAAGAGGCCCATGGGTCTAAACGGTCATCTGACTACAAAGACTGAGCAGGGAGAATGGTCAACTTTCAATTTTCAATGAAATATTCTAAGAATTTATTTTCCGTGATTGTAGTTTGGTCAGCAGTGGGTAACTATTTGTCAGTAAAGCTATCAGAAAGCATTTAAACCTAAAACTGAATAGGTTTTTTCCTTTTAAGGTAATTGGAGTGTATTGATAAACGGAAATAGGAAGTACATCCCTAGTTGAAAATCCAATGCAGGGAGACAGTATCACAATTTCCGCATATTCTATTGTTTAATATTAAACTGATGAATATTGTATGTTTATTATTGACAGAACAGTGTGTTTTCTCAATATTAAAGTATTTTTAAGCAATCCAGCCATTAATTCAGTTGTTTTTTATCAATGAGTTACATGTGTCCATTTTTCTGTACTTCAGGAAACCGGCTACCTATTTCACTACTGTGAAGTTTTTCAAGAAAAGATAACTCTTACATGCAAATACTATGTGTTCATGGTTTTATTATAAAATGTCAATTTTTAATCCTTTATAGATAATTTATTTTACACAATTTCACCATTTATTAAATTGGTATACATTAATGCAATAATAATCTATGTCAGAATCATTTTTATTAACATTATTTTGCAAAAAAAATGTGTCTTTCATTTTTTTCTTTAAAATTCACTCCTTTTTACATAAATTTCCATTTAAAAACCTTAAATTTCTGACAACCTATATTTTTTTGCGGCAGAAAATGTTCGTAACTTCAATGCAATATAACTACAAAATTTTACGAAATTCTACTGAGAAATGATGACACAATCCTATTACCTTAAGGCCCCGTCCCGCTGTCAACTGGGTTGTTAAACCTGTCTCATTTATATAAGGGATTGTTTCTAAATGATGTTTCATACTGAAATTGTTGTAATCTTTTGGCATTAACGAGTAGTGTTAAGAAGCATGATTTAAGGTAATTTCCTTTCTTTGGGCGTCGACCTCTCTATCCCCCAGGGGTCTAACCAGCCTCATTTATGTATTTATATATTGTCCTCCTTCAGACCAACCCGATAAATAACAACACTTGGTCGGGACCATCTCAGGATCATTTCATGCAAGTTTCAGCTCAATCCCACTGGTGGAACTTGAGAAGAAATTTAAAATATGGCTGCCATGTTAAAGTTTTGACGGGGCTGAAAAATAACACTTTGTCGGCTTCCTTTCCTTTCCCCACCAAACTTTAGCTCAATGGCAACAGTGGAACTAGAAAAGAAGTTCAAAATGTGTTTTTCAAGATGGCGGCCATAGCAGCCATCTTGTATTTTGGACCGACCCGATAAATAACAACACTTGGTCAAAACCATCTCAGGATCATTTCAGGCAAGTCTCAGCTCAATCCCACTATTGGAACTTGAGAAGAAGTTTAAAACACAATTATTGAAAACAAATATACAAAATATCATTTATTCTCTATTGTAATACAAACATTGGTAGGTTAAACAAGAATACATGATATAACTCCTACCATATATCAAACAACATCCCACAATCAACTCCATGAAACATAACATATTCTTTAATACCATCGTCACAACCACCGGCATGCCGGACATTGGGCCCTCTATGCAACAACATTCCTTTTAAAGCGAACGGTGCATCTGCCTAAAAAGCTGGTACATTTCAAATTACATCAAAAAGTAATTAATCGTCAATGTTATATCCGAAGGAAAATTCAAATAAGCACTTAGCAAAACAGATATTAATGAAAAGTTTCTCAAAACATGGTAAATTGGAAAAACAAGGCATCAATTAATATTGGGTAGGAGTATATTAAAATATTCAAAAAGATAAATGCAATTTTCCAACACAAATCATGTGGCTTCTTTACCGTATTAAAAGCAAATAGTATTTGTTTCAATAAAAATTCAATTTCAGCGCTAGTAAAGTACGTAATCGAACAAAAGTTGGCATGATTCGGTCAACAGCAGGAACGTATTAGAAGTATTGAGGAAATTAACAACAACAGGAAGCAAGGTAAATAGTTTTAAGAAGTCATATGGTCGGATTCACATCAATATCGTTATAAATGACAAAAATATGCTATTTGATCGTGAGGAAATCGACATAAATTTGAAGAAGTGTTAATGGCACGTAGGATTACAAGAGGAAATTTAACATTAAAACAAAAGTAAATTACAATTATGTTACGTGTCATCATAAAATTGAAAAGTAAAATGTTATTTGATCTTGAGGAAATTGACAGAGATTTGTAAGAGTATGAGGAAATTCACATTAAAACAATAGTAATTGGCAATAAAAGTGTGATTTGGTCTTGAGGACAGCATGTCTTGGTAACCGGGTGAACCGCCCGAACTGATTTAAATGAGAACATTCACATGTACACAATAAATAGCAAATGACAATAAATGTGTTACCTGATCGTGAGGAATTCGAATGTTTTTTACAAAAATTTAAAGAAGCAATCACCTGTGTGTGTGCCTACGTTCTTCTACTAACAAGGTCAGTGGCACGAAATGATTACACGGGAAAACTAACATTCAAACGATTGTAAAAGACTAAAAAAAGCATTTCATGATATTGAGGAACTTGACAAGGGGTAAAAGCATAAGATATCAACTCAATAACACCATGTGCACTGCAAACATAAAAAAGCACAGAAAAGACGAAACGTAAAAAAGCAATGCCAAATATTAGGTAGTAAACAAATGTGAAGTCATTGTCTTCAACTATATGAAAATAAGATGTCAACATAGTGCGATCATTAAACTCAGTCCAATTATATGCTTCTAATCTCAGTTTCTAAACTTTGGTTCATAGGTACAAGTTAACTGTGATATATGATGTCAATATGAATGATTGTTACATATACCTTGGTATATCGCGTTCAAAATCTTATTAAACCATAATGAACCAACACTATAATCTCACTTGATATTTTAAATGCTTTCTATATCCGACTTTTTTAATTAACCATAAGCCGCTCTTCATTAACTTGGACAAAATGATTATTTTTAGTATTTTTGGCAACGTTCTTTTTCAAACTCTGTACACAAGTAGGATCAATGGATCCCTATACGAATTATCGTTTAATTCGTCCTTTATATTCATATTCATATCACTTTTGTCTTTTGTGGAAGTGTTAGTATGCTCTTAAATAATGATTCAAAATACATTGTCATTTCATTTTAGAAACCTTATACACTTTCCATTCTCCTGTAAAGTCTGGTCTCTAAATATATAAACGCCCTGTGAAACAGCCCAATGTGACTGGTACTACATCATTATTGTTCCATAGGAAAACGTTGCAAAGTCCTAGTACCATGGTGTTCACTGCTGTTGCGTGCAATAACGCGTTGGCTTTCCATGTATATAGACCCAGTCTCAAAAGATTTGTTTTGGAATGAATATTGCAGCTCTCACACATGACATCATAACGTTTCTCCTTTGTTCCATAATATTGTTATGACATGTTGTAGGCCTCCCTTCGACACTTCAACCATTGAAAGATTGGATGGATGAACGACAGGGTCACGAAACAGAGGCAAAATAGATCCGCCTGTATTAACAATACGAATGCAGGTAAAATTAAAAAGGAGCATCGAGTATTTATCAGAAATATTATTGAATATTAATAGAACTGCAAACAACATGTTAATAAAAGCTACGTTATGATAATTTTTCATATATCTTGGTGATCATGAGAAAAAGATTCATGATCTTTAAAGTTAGAAAAAACAGCTTTTTCCCATGAGTTGAACTACATTCAAACTTAACCTTTTTAAATAAAAAAAAAATAGATATTACTGATGAGTAGCTTAGAACAATTTATTTAGATAGCATTACATTGGTGATCTTAACACAAACATTGTTAGGACTTCAAATAGAAACTATCAATGCATAGACAGACAGGAGAACTGGGATTGTGGATGACTACGTACGTGGAATGGACCTTCAAGGTACGACTGCGCCCAGTTGAAGAATACGATTTGAAGGAATCCTACTATACCGGCAGCAATGATCCATACTCCGTACAGCAAGCCGAAGTACTCGTTAGGGAACCTGTGGATCATAACACTACTAGTAAGAGAACTTGATAAAGTATGAAAGTACTCATCACTGAACCGTAGCAAGTACAACAGTAACACTAGGCTTTCAGAAGTCTTTACAAACAATAGTTCGGATAATCAAAATCACATTTATTATGTTACCATCTCCTTTTGTACTCAAGGTATGCATATATGATATAATAAAATAATAATAATAATTCGAGGTTCTTATATACCGCTTGATCAAAACCTAGTTCGTAGGTCGTCTCAACGCAGATTATCATCTGTGGTTATAGGGCCTTTGCACCCAGCCAATATCTTTCTCAACTCCATGGGGAGCATACAGCCGGTGCTGCCATTTCGGCGCTCATAGCTAGCATTCAACAGTTCTAGCACTGCCCAACCACGTTCTCATTTAAAGCTGAGGAGACTGGAACAAGCGGAGTAAAGTATCTTGTTCAAAGATACAACACAGTGCCGTTGCGTGACTCGAACCCGTTACCCTTCGGCCATGAGCCCGGCGTCCTACCACTAGACTACCGTACCTCCGGAATTATAAGGAATAAGGAATTTACAATGAACTGATTATCCTACATCGTGTATTTAAATAGCACGTGTCGTAAAATGCTACTTGCTTTAGATGTTATTTTACAAAGTTTACATGTTATTAAATATGCTTAAGAAAAATGCATTAAGTGAAAGAAAATGAAGAAATAAAACACACGTACAGTATTTTTAATAGGATAAATGAAACTGTTCATGGAATATGGATACCAGAAACATGTCACCGTTCAAAAATTGTTTTTCGAGTTTACTGCAAATTACTTTTCATCTATGTTTTTTCTGCAAATAATATTAGTATTTACATAAATTTAACCAAAGTATTCTATAACTTATCATTTCCTTAAGAAAGCATATTCTGATTTTCATAATATCCGTGCTGTAATGAGGATTCGTTAAAGTTTTAGGAACAGTTTATCTTTCCTCTCTATATTAGATCTTATTAATAAAGGGTAATCTAAGGTAAACAAGACGAATGTAAATCTTTTATTATAATCAAGAAAAAAGAATTATGATCAATCAAGGAGTGTGATTATTACAAATAAAATATTGTTTACATTAATTATCAAATAAAAGATAATAGATGTTGTAATTTTAACACGATCTAAAACCAGTACGAGTAGGAAATTGAGAAAGCATAACGCTACCGGCAAATGCTTACATTGCACTGAGGTAGGCTGCTCCAATACTGTAGATAAAGGACCTGTATAAGGTCATGACGATGAATACGAAGTATAGAACCTCCTCTTGGGGAATGAGCACAAGTACTGACAGCAGGACGCCCAGTCCACACGTGATCATCAAAGGTAAGATCGCTGGCATCAACTTCCGCCTGAGGGCCATTCGACTGTCTGTGGGTCAAATGCAAGCATATGTTATCCCGGTCCATCTTTTCCCCACCAGACAATTGATTCTTAACACATTATGTTATCGCGTCTTATATAAATGATTACATCAACCATCAATTTTCAACATAGATGAGTCACCATTATTCGCCACAAATATGTGAACAGTTTGAAACTGTCCGAAAACGAAGTTACATTATTGTATTCCTCATACTATCCACGTTTTAAGGTAGAGTTTAAGAGGTTTGTTAGAACATTTATTTTGTTATTGCCAAAAAGTTAAGGCAAACGTTAAGAAAGACAGAATTCGTCATTTTTTGGGCTGGTGTAAACGTTAGAAACTGCATTCTCATCAGTTTAATCAAATAATAGTAAACAAATTATTATTTATCTATATCAAATATTTTTTATACATACAACTAACTCGATGAATATAGCACATGTATGCATTTATATCAATTCAATTCTTTATTCAACACAACATTTGTAGAAGATCTCATGACAAAAGAACAACATCAACAGCTTCTCCAATGGACATAGACAGTGAAACTTAAGGATGTACTCTTCTGAGGTTTCAGTCACGTTCAAGTCTCGTTTTGTTCTCGTGTAACGGGTTTTTGTAATATTTAACAAATTACGATTAAATTAATAAGCAAACACGAACCTGCAAAAAACGTCAAAAAACGAGATGCCTGTTGTTTGTAGAACTTTTTTTACAGAGATTTAAAAAAAATACCTATTCGGCGGCCATTTTGAAAATGTGGATTAATGTGTATTTCTTGTGCTTCAAAAAAGGCCAAAATTTCACCTTTTTTGGCACTAGATTGATCACTTAAATTGCAGGTTCATTTTTGCTGTACAACTTTATAATGTTCAATATGATAAAATTAATATGCAACAAACTGGAAAATTATACATTATTGATATTTTTTTTACGTATTTAGTGTGACTGAAGCACTTTTGATTTTTGACCCCGAAAAAGGTAAAAAATAACGCAAATGATAATGGGACAAAAAAAGAAGCACACTGACCCCCCATTTTTGTAGATGTTTTAGAATGAGAAACACGTTTTCATTTAATTCATGAAATATTTAAAAAAGTTAAATACCAGAACTTTTTATATCAAGCGTTTAATCTGAAAAAAATTGGTAAAAAATGAGTATTTTTTCATTAAAAAATAGGGGGTAGGGGTAACTAAAATCAGCTTTTTGAGTTAAAACAATAAGATTAAAAAAATTTAGTTCCACAATTTAAAAGAAAATAAGATTTTCAACAATTCTACGAACATTTATACATATCTGATAACACACTTGGAAGAAATTGTATGAATTTGTTCTGCAAGTGGTCAAAACCCAAAAAATCACCTAAAACCACCTATTGTGTTAAATTGGTATCTTTGACCGATCATAGCACAAAACCGAACACACCGACATATGTTTTTTTGTTGCATTTTCTACTATGCCATTAACTCCCTTTTCCAAAAATCGATATAAGAAAAAAAGTTTAATACAGGAAATTTTTGACTTCTCAGAGGTGTACATCCTTAAGTCTGGTCAACTTACCCTGGAACATCCTCCTCTGCCAGTCATACACAATCCCGGAGAACATGGAAGAGAACAAACCTCCCAGCATCGTGTACATCATCACATTCGTAAAATAACTCACTGGAATAGCAAGTGCAGCATGTTTTGAAATCTTAAAACACTTCTAAAACAGGACGTACGTTTTTCCTTCAAAACATAGGATGATGCATCTTCGCTAGCCAAGTGTTCGCTTCGTATACACACTTGGCTAGCGAAGATGAGGGTGATGTTATTTGTATCTAACCTTGATGTTGATCCTAAATAGGTACGCTTATATCTTTTAAGTGTTGTACCTAGAGAGATAGACATATTGACTAACATTTGTATGTCATTGTTGATCCCGAGGTCGTATGTTCATCTTCTTGTATTTGTAGTATACAGTGTGGTTGATCCTTAAGAGGTAGATGCATGTCATTTGCCTTTGCTTTTCGCAGTTTCAGTGACACAGATATTAGTATATCAACCTTTTTCTATACCTTCATTTTTCATCTTTTAAAGCTTAAGAGGTAGTTATATCAATTATCTATTATACCTACTGGGGTTAGTTCTCCGCAACGCAGCTAGGTATTTTTTCTAACATCTGTACTAATGATTTGTGTTGGTGTACGAAGGCGAGCATATATATTTCATTTTGTGTGTACCATCATGCCATTTGAAGCAGGTATCTGCCACTTTCTGTTAATTTACGATCATAAGGGAGGACTTTACATACCTTTATACTTGTCGTTATTGGTGATCCTATGCAGGTAAGTGTTGACAGAAGACAGGAAGAAGTAGAAGCGGAGTTGCAGCAGACACAGCCAGAACACATGCAGGAGAAAGGTTGCGGACATCAAGCACGACTTAAGGGATGGTGTGTCGGAAGCTTTTTCATCACTCACTTCAAACGTCGTCTTCTCATATACTTGGCCATCTGCAAACATGCAATACAGTGAGATGTTACCTTCTCATTAACCTTGGAGTGTATTAAACAATAAAACAGTGACGTGAGATATCAACGTCTCATACACATGACCGCGGTTGCTCTAAGGTCAGTTAGAGGTAACCAGTGGTTAATGGGGAAAATAGCACGCCATCCTGTATTTGCTCATATACGGGATAGCATAAAAGATTATCAAGAGAAATTTGTAAAGTTGACCTCCAGTAGGTAATCCACTGATAGGTAATAATATCGATGTTGAACTTTTACTTCACATAGAAGACTTCGGAAATTAAAATATGATGCGATACCTATAAACAATAGGGGCAAAAGAGATATGGACTTGTCTCGAAATACTCGGGACGAACTTACTTTCTTGGGTGGTACTCCCGTTCAGCTTATCGTTCTCTAGTAGGTCGATCGTTTTTTCATCCTGTGCCACTTCAGTAGCGGCTGCTTCTGACGGACGAGGAATGAATTTCTTTGGAAGGAAGAAAAAAGTGCTCACCCCCACCATCAAATGTAGTCCTGTCAGGAGGCCATAGGAGTATTGTATTCTTATCCCCGTCTCATACGCTCCCTAGAACATGAAGCAAGCATCAATCTTCATGAACACAATTGGAATGACCGGACTGATCAAAGGAATCCTCTCCGCTATACAAATCTGCTCTGCACCCTTGCAATATGTCATGACAACTCGAAGCTCACGAAAAGCCATTTGATTGGTTTCAGGCTAAAGAAACTGGCCAACCGCTAGGCTGATACGTGTCCTTTGAATATTACAGAAGAGCTATGTTTCCTTTTATCATGTATCAAAGAAAACCCACGGGTATGCAGGATTTTGTATCTAGTCAACTTGTGTCGTCCGCAAAGAGGCGCGTAGAGAGCCTTTGATCTTGTCATGCCACATACTACAAGGCTGAAGAGAACATCTGTGTATCAAGGACGGAACCCTTAGATTTAGAAAATGCAACAAAATAAACGCTTTCATCTTTGCGACAATAAACATTTTAGAAAATATCACTTTATAAAGTACATTTCATTCGATGAAACAACCACAAATACCACTTACTTTGACCATAAATTGTACCGCGGATGAGCAATCAAATCCCCCACATAGAAGTCCTATCCATGTTGAACTTCCTTTGGGAAACAAATTCCCGATCTACAACAAGAGAGATAAAAGATGAACGCATCATTCCTATATCAAAATGGACAATCAGACAATAATGTATGGATTAAGACCTTAACTCAAGTATGGCAATGCTTACCTGGGCATTGGTAACTAACAGTGGTAGGCCGCCCATCCCGATGAAGGCGAGACCTGGGTAGATCAGCCAGGGCCTTTCTGCAATGAAACAAGGCAAGGCGCCATTAATATATGGACAATGCCTAATACATACATCCTCGATGTCCAGGGGTTACGCTCACTTACGTTATCTGCACGCCTGGAATACATCATAGCAAAGTTAAAGGCTCAGTGTACGCCATCTTGTTGATGAGACAAGACTGGTTCGACCCTGAGGTGTACATCAAAAGAATCTCGCGGTCGCGTAACGGTAAAAACCGACTGACTTTGAAGTCGGGTGTCGCCTTTTTGTAATCTTCAAAGACATGTATCAGCCTAGCGATTGGTGAGGGTGTTTTTTTTTACCTCATACCAATCAAATAGCTGTCTTTATGCCTTCAATTTTGCTATGACATATGACAGGGGTTCAGAGAGCGTAAGTGATATCGAGGATGTAATACATACAGCTTTCTTGGCAGGTGCAGTGGTTTCAATAATGAATAGTCGTTTTTCTTCAGAAATCAATAAATTTCATTTTCCATTTTTTTTAAATTATCAATATATTATCTTAGATACAACATTAATTATACAAAATGAAAAGCAGCTGAATTTTAAACTTGCGTTGTTGAATAAGCCTTCGCCATTATCACATTATTGTACAGATGGTGTTGGGCACCTGATAATAAATTACATGGATGTTTTGATTGGATCTATACTAAAGTGTAGAGAGTAATTATTAGACATCTAGATAACCAATGGTGGAATATTTTCCGGGTGTTGGTCGAAACACATTAAACGTCTCGATAAAAATGCCAACATTGGCTGATCCACAAGTTTCATATTACTCTCTAAACATCTGGATAGGTCCAAACATGACATCCTGCCTTTTGTTACCATGTCCCAGTGATATTAATAAGAACCAGATCGCCACCTACCTGTGTCCACGAACGCGAACATAATAGTTCCCGACATGAAGATGATCCTGTAAAATAAAGTTACCGCGCGTTAAAACTTTATAACGAAAGTAGTCATATATTACCAAACAAAAGAAATATAGTTCTTTCATAAAATCTCCGCTAATCGGTCAAGGGTGACATTCCATATCCATCTCCGTCGAGAGAGTTGTGGAAGGTCACCCTTGGTAGGCAAAGACTGCGTCCTGTTTGATATTCCAACTCAATATATTGAAAACGGGTTTGTTCTATGCTAAATAACAGTATGGATTCACTAGCTCGTATATTTGTGTCTATACACCTGGTGTTTGTCACTGATTGAAGGCGTATCGATGTAAACATTTCTAGTCTTTCAGTAGCCTAACAAATGCAATACCAGCTTTTGTGACAGTTCGACTTTTTCCAAACAATAACCATCGGGCGCATCATACCCTGGCGATACGTGCTCCTTCTCAAACTAATGTGTTAATGGGACGCTATTTTATCACATCTATCAAGGTTACCCTTCCAAAGCAATGTTCAAAACCCTTTCTTACCCCTTTCACACCTAATTTTAATAAACTTCACTATGCATTGATCTGGATAAGTCCATTGTGGTCTACGTGGTGAAAGGTTAGACCGCAAAGTTTAAAAGGTCAAAGTTATGATTTGAAATTGAAAATAAAGAAATAAATAGAATTATTGAAATAAGGTGGTACATCGAATAGAACAAGTGAATTAAATTTTGATTTTATAATTAGGCTTTTGAAAACAAATGCAATGCAGTACAACTCTTGGGGGGTATTGAATATAATACACTCTGATTTACTTACATTGAACATATCCGTGTAATACGAGTTCCGAATTTGTAATTGATGTGTCCAAATAATGCCGAGCTTGCGCAAAAAAGTGCCGAGCCGATCGTGAAACACAGAGCAAACTTTTCGTCCTGGGGTCGACACTGGGGTCTGTATCCAATGGGATTCGGTCCAACATCAGTGCCGTTCTGGGATGTCGTGTTCCCCCCAACAGTGTCGTACGTCACAACATTATCGGTCCCATTTATGGTAACATTAGTTTTGAAGGTCGTCTGAGGACAAAGGTCAGCATACACATTTTCCTGTTTTAGAATCCAATTTACGGAAGCCCAGCCGTACAACAACCCCGCAAACAGAAAGGTTTCTATAAAAGCCCAGACCGCCACCAGATACTTCCTCCAGCCGTGGTATTTCATTGTGATACAAGTCACCTGAGTCAGGGGCGGGTCAGGAAAGGTATTTAAGGTCACGGTTGAAAAATAGGTCAACGGTGGATCGCCGGCAAACTACGGTCTGCAATATAAGAACGTCATGTTATTGTCTTTATATATATTTACTGGGTTTGAAATGAAATCCCGGTTTGTAGCAGACAATATAAGATCACAGTACCGTAACAGATAGACCATTCATGGAGAAACTTGAATAATAAACTGGACTAATATTTGTTCAAAGCCTAGATTTAAATGTATGCACACAAGGGATTGTACTGTTTTTGTTGATAATTACATTTCGCCTACTGGTCCTATAGGTTTAGCCGACAAATATGTAAATATTGTAGAAACTATCCAATAAATGATTAAGTATAACTGTAAATTGTCCCTTGTATCTCTAATTGATCAACATCTGTATATAGAACAGGAAGCCTTTGTCTCTATTATATATATAAGCCAGTATGAGCTAGTATGCTCGGCCGTCTGTGGGTATATATAAGCTAGTATGCTCGGCCGTCTGTGGGTATGTGTTACCTTATGCTTCGTCCGCCCTATATTCGTAACATTGCAATAAAGTACATAGTATATGTTTATGATTTACATAAAACGTCTATTATATAAATATGTCATACAAATGGTACAATTATATCGATTTTAAACCTTATTTATTACATCAGGGGGGGGGGGGGGGGGGGTGTTCAGCACATAATATCAAGCAAGAAAATTTCTCAATAAACGAATACATTTGTATTTATACAATCCTCCTGGTTTTATTTCAATGTTAGGGCAACCGTATAAATTTTCTATGGTCTTATTATATAATAAATATTACATTATCATTAACAATTTACTACGTACTAACTGGGGGCTACATCATTGAGATTTCCTTAAGTCTCAGTATGTATGCACACGGGAGGTAGGGCGGCGCAGTGGTTAGTGTAATCGCCTTTCACGTCTGGGTCTGACATGAAACGGCACGAAGATGTGCACCTGTCTGAAACTTGTTTTTTTCTCTGGATACACCGGTTCTATCCTATATTGAGAACCCCTGAACGTTTCCACCCATGTCAACAAAAATGATAAATGTAAAGTGTTGTACTTTTTTATTCATATTTGCTGTTAAAATAAATTTAATTTATCTTCTTAAACAATAAATACTAGTTAATGAAAGATTGAAGCTGTATTGTATATTGTGAATGCTCTGTGCTAGATGATAGTTCATTTTTAAAACTATAAATATTAGTTTGCAAACATATTGTGAATGATTGGAGATGGATTTAATGTCGTGAATGCTCTGTGCTAGATGATCAGGTTGTTTACTTAAGTTAACAAAGCCTTGCTCGAATGATCGACCCGTCAACAATTCCTAACCTTTTAAAACAGCGGGAAAATGTCACAGATATAGCACCTATCCGGCACCTTGTCGTGAGTCACCAGCTGGTTTGTCCTTATTTGGGCATATGTTACACCGTCCTACTCTAGAGTTTTTCGTCACATCAAACAATTGCAATGTATCAAGTCCCAGCACCATCTATAAATTGATTTAAATACAATAAATTCGTAAATAGCACCCGTATGAGGGGCCCCCCCGATGCAATTAATGTATTCTTTAGCAAACACGTGGTGAGCACGTTTGACACCTGTATAGAGGATGCATCGTAAAACGTTTACAGTGTAACTCTATATCATATATATACACATATACATAAGCAATACACATGTGTAGTACGAGTAAACAACTTACGTGCTGACCACAGCCAGAAGATCGATCATCGAGTGTTTACAGTACAGTACTACAGTAGAGCTTGGCGGTACGCAATATAGCTACGTACGTCAATTTCCTCCTAAAGGAACAATCTGGAAATTTAACGGACACTTCGGTGTGATATATCTGACCACTGGTCTTAGGGTTCAGCTATGGTCTGCACACGATTCATTATTCACAGTAGCATTACACACAATCAACCTGCTTACCCGTAGTTCGGTTTCCGTGCTCAGTGAGATTTTGTCTTAGGGGCCTCCCACGGGGAAATCATACAAGGAGTAACGGAAACTAGAATGTGTTACAGTGCATGAGTGCAGTTAAACGGTGACTAACGTAAACAAAGGTGAATCACGTGGTTTTATTTTAGAATAGACTTGTAATCATTTACTTGTGATCGTTACACTTAAACCATTTATATAGAGTACGTCTATTTTTATCTAGTCGAATCAGCAAGTAGGCTAGATTATATATGTATTTCCGACACTCCTAAAATGAATCAGTATATATATACTAAATTAGTTGGAAAAAACATGTTTCCTTATTAAGAAGTCATTTTTAGCTTTTTTTTAAATACATATGATTAAAATTGTGACACATTGTATATATGAGTAATCATCTCGAGTAGACTACATATATATGTGTACATGTCAGTCCACAGGATTCGTGACTCGATTATAATAATTATGCGATAAATCAAGCGAATTGATTTTTTTTTAATTTAGAGTTATATAAGCCTACAAGAATAACACTATCTGAGTTTGTTCCGTCAAGTATAAAAATATAACAGCCAAACTTCTACGCAGATACATTCTTATTGGGGGTACAAAACACTAACGGCGACGTAAAACACTAACGCGGGCGTCCAACACTTACACAGACTTAACAAGCTTTTTGAACACATTATAGTAAGCCACATCATGACCCATTCAGATAATCACGATATACTCTACCCTTTGCAACATGGTTTTCGAAAATTCAGATCCTGCAAGACCCAATTATTGGAATTTGTTGAAGATATTACTCAAAATTTAGAAGCTGGCAAACAAACCGACGTATTAATATTAGATTTTTCGAAGGCATTTGACAAAGTCAGCCACTCACTTCTTATTCATATATTAGAACATTACGGAGTAAGAGGAAAAACAAATTGCTGGATAAAAAAACTTCCTACTCGGCCGCCAGCAAGCTGTCCTTTGTGAAGGTGAAATTTCATCATATATGCCTGTAGAATCTGGGGTACCACAGGGGTCAGTTCTGGGACCAAGTCTCTTCCTGCACTACATAAACGACCTAGCATCAAGCCTACAATCCACTGTAAGATTATTTGCGGACGACACGATAGCTTATCTGACCATATCATGTGAGCAGGATGCTAAATGTCTCCAATCTGACCTTGACAAATTAGCTGTATGGGCAAAAGACTGGATTATATCCTTCCACCCGGACAAGTGTAGCGTACTTTCTATAACACGTAGTCGTTCTCCCAAACTGTACGATTATACCCTTTACGGACAAACCTTAAAACATGTAAATACTGCTAAAGATTTGGGCATTACGTTTAGTTCAGACATACGTTGGGAGAAACATATCACCAACATTTGTAACAAAGCCAACAACACTCTAAGCTTTTTAAGACGAAACCTCAAAATTAGCTCCAAAGGAATTAAAGAACAGGCATGCATATCTTTAGTTAGGCCAACAGTTGAATATGCCAGTACTGTATGGGACCCATATTTAGAACAAGACATCAACAAAATTGAAAAGGTCCAGCGGAGAGGAGCTAGATTTACCTTAAGTCGCCATGGCAACAGGTCCAGTGTAAGAGATATGTTAGATACTTTAAATTATCCATTTTTAGAAGCCAGAAGAAAAAATGCCCGCCTAGCCATGCTTTACAAAATTAAAAACAACCTGGTTACAATTGACTCTACAAACAAACTACTCCCAGCTACACGTCTATCTAGAAACCAACATGAACAATGCTTCTCCATACCTCAATGCAGAACCCAGTTTAAGAAAATGTCCTTTTATCCACGCACTATAGTTGATTGGAACACCTCCCGCCAGATATCAACTACACTAAATCACTAGTGGCCTTCAAATCTGCCATCCTAAACTTTAAAAAACCGTAAAGTAATGTGTGTTTTTAACCTTATCTATTTTTATTAAATTTTCTAATTATTTACTATTAGTAGTATTCTTCCTCATACTATTAATTATTATTATTATTATTTTTGTTTTTAAATCTTTGTAATTGTACCATTGCGCACGCACAAACCAGTGTCATTATATTCGGCAAGACAAATGAGTACACTTAAATGGCAGAAGCAGAAACACACAAGAAGTACAACACTAACACGGGAGTACAACACTTACACAGACGTACACCACACGGACTACAACACTAACACGGGTGTACAACACTTACACAGACGTACACCACACGGACTACAACACTAACACCGACGTACCACACTTACACAGACGTACACCACACGGACTATAACACTTTACACAGACGTAAAACACACGAACTACAACACTAACACAGACGTAAATCACACGGACTACAACACTTACACAGACGTAAAACACTTATACAGAACACGGGTGTACAACACCGGGTGTAACGTACACCACACGGACTACAACACTAACACGGGTGTATAACCCTTACACAGACGTAAAACACACGGACTACAAACATTAAACAGACGTAAACACACGAACTTCAACACTAACACGGGTGTATAACACTTACCCTGACGCAAAACACACGTACTACAACACTAACACGGACGTAAAACACTTACACAGACGTTAAACACACGGACTACAAACATTAAACAGACGTAAACACACGAACTACAACACTAACACGGGTGTATAACACTTACACAGACGTAAAACACACGGACTACAACAATAACACGTGTGTACAACACTTACACAGGCGTAAAACACACGGTCTGTACAACACTAACACGGGGGAACAACACTTGCACAGACGTAAAACACACGGACTACAACACTTACACGGGTGTACAACACTTGCACAGACGTAAAACACACGAACTACAAACATTAATCAGACGTAAACACACGAACTACAACACTAACACGGGTGTATAACACTTACACAGACGTAAAACACACGGACTACAACAATAACACGTGTGTACAACACTTACACAGACGTAAAACACACGGTCTGTACAACACTAACACGGGTGAACAACACTTGCACAGACGTAAAACACACGGACTACAACACTAACACGGGTGTACAACACTTGCACAGACGTAAAACACACGGACTATATATACAAAACTAACACCAACGTACAACACTTACACAGACGTAAAACACACGGACTACAATACTTACACAGACGTACACCCCACGGACTACAACACTAACACGGGTGTATGACACTTACACAGACGTAAAACACACGGACTACAACACTAACACGTGTGTACAACACTTGCACAGACGTAAAACACACGGACTACAACACTAACACGGGTGTACAACACTTACACAGACGTACACCCCACGGACTACAACACTAACACGGGAGAATAACACTTACCGGACGTAAAACACACGGTCTATACAACACTAACACGTGTGTACAACACTTGCACATACGTAAAACACACGGTCTATACAACACTAACACGGGTGTACAACACTTACACAGACGTACACCCCACGGACTACAACACTAACACGGGTGTATAACACTTACCGGACGTAAAACACACGGTCTATACAACACTAACACGGATGTACAATACTTACACAGACGCAAAACACACGGTCTATACAACACTAACACGGGTGTACAACACTTACACAGAGGTAAAACACACGGTCTATACAACACTAACACGGGAGTACAACACTTACACAGACGTAAAACACACGGACTACAACAATAACACGGGTGTACAACACTTACACAGACGGACACCCCACGGACTACAACACTAACACGGGTGTATAACACTTACACAGACGTAAAACACACGGACTACAACAATAACACGGGTGTACAACACTTACACAGACGTAAAACACACGGACTTTCAACACTAACACGGGTGTACAACACTTACACAGACGTAAAACACACGGACTAAAACACTAACACGTGTGTACAACACTTACACAGACGTAAAACACACGGTCTATACAACACTTACACGGGTGTACAACACTTATACAGACGTAAAAACACACAGACTACAACACTAACACGTGTGTACAACACTTGCACAGACGTAAAACACACGGTCTATACAACACTAACACGGGTGTACAACACTTACTCAGACGTAAAACACACGGACTAAAACACTAACACGTGTTTGCAACACTTATACAGAAGTAAAACACATGGACTCAAACACTAACACGTGTGTACAACACTTACACAGATGAACAACACACGGACTAAAACACTAACACGGGTGTACAACACTTACCGGACGTAAAACACACGGTCTACACCACTTGCACGGGTGTGTATAACACTTACACAGACGTAAAACACACGGACTAAAACACTAACACGTGTGAACAACACTTACACAGACGTAAAACACACGGTCTATACAACACTTAAACGAGTGTACAACACTTACACAGACGTAAAACACACGGTCTATACAACAGTAACACGGGTGTACAACACTAACACAGACGTAAAACACACGGACTAAAACACTAACACGTGTGAACAACACTTACACAGACGTAAAAGACACGGTCTATACAACACTTAAACGAGTGTACAACACTTACACGGACGTAAAACACACGGTCTATACAACAGTAACACGGGTGTACAACACTAACACAGACGTAAAACACACGGACTAAAACACTAACCCGTGTGTGCAACACTTACACAGAAGTAAAACGCACGGACTAAAACACTAACACGTGTGTACAACACTTACACAGACGAACAATACACGGACTAAAACACTAACACGGATGTACAACACTTACACAGACGTAAAACACACGGTCTATACAACACTAACACGGGTGTACAACACTTACACAGACGTACAACACACGGTTTATACAACACTAACACGCATGTACAACACTTACACAGACGTAAAACACACGGACTACAACACTAACACGCGTGTACAACACTTACACAGACGTAAAACACACGGTCTACACCACTTGCACGGGTGTATAACACTTACACAGACGTAAAACACACGGAC